CCCCCGGCCCACAGCCCAATAGGGGCCAGAAAATAGCTGACTGCCACGAAAGTTATTAGGCAATATTTGATAACTATGATAACTGCTTTTATGCAGTTTTTCATTCTGAAAAAGTATCTTAAAAGAGATATGTCTGCCTGCCCATTTTTATATTGCTAAGAAAGCCGATCGCAAGAGAAGCTTATTGGGTTAAAATCAGCCTAGTATAGTCTGAGTGCTAGCGATCTTTTCCAGGCTAACTTTGAACATATGGCAGATGGTATGTGGAAGCAAGATGGCCAGAGATGATGTGGAAGCAAGAGGGCAAGAGAAGCGGGCATCGATATGGATATATGGATTCAGAAAAATATACAGAGAGTGTGGCTCAACCGCGTAGCGGCACATTTGTGTGGATTGTTGCTGCTGCCGCAGCCTTTGGGAATTTAACCCCTTTAACCCACCGCGGACCGCCCCACACCGCACCACACAGTACACCCACCCACAACCCAGCCCCGTGCGTCCTGCTGGGCCCACTGCCTGTGCCAGCCAGTGGATTACTCAATTAATTTAATTATGCGCTGTCAATCATTTCGTTGCCTTGGCCCAGGACCAGAACCAGAACCAGGACCAGGACCGAGCTCTAGGTCTCTTGTCTGCCTACCAAACCACGCCTATCCTTTTAGCCTATTCCCCCCTGTACCCCCGCTGTACCACACCTAAACGAAGCTCTCTCGCTACCACAGACAGACGCCCATGGGTCCATTGGGCTGGGTGTGGAGTCTAGGCAAAAGAGTGACTTATTTTCTTGTTGCCACTTAATTTTTGTTGTCCTTAGATTTGCGCCATCGTCTGTGGCCGCTCAGCCAATGCCTTCTGCCACGCCACCCATCGTCTTACCGCATCCTACCCCTTTGCCTGTGCCCGGGACTGACTCTACGCAAATTTTGACTCATGCCGTTGCCGCTTGTTCTCTCCCCCTGCCGAAATAAGAGAAATCATTTGCGTTTTTGCGTTTACGCAAGACACAAAAGTGTAGTTGCTAATCCCTGGCCCCCCACCACCCACACCCCACCATCCTGCATTCCGGATTCCCGAACTGGGGGGCTACGTTGGAGCTGCCATTTCCTGGAGATTCTCATCAGTTTTATCCCTTTGCCTGGTGCCGGTCCCGGTTCTGGTTCCCATCCACCGTCATCGTCGTCATGTTGACTTTTCCATTTTCCTTGGCAATTTTCCTGCACTGTATTCTTTTCTTTTCTGTTCGGCTTCCTTTGTGTCTTGTCTCAATTTTGTTTTTTTTTTTTTTGGTGCTTCTTTGAACGATTACCTTCTGTTCTGGTTCTTCTATTTCTGCTAGAACGTATCCTGCGGGTCTTGTTTGTGCTTGTATTTGTATAAGCTGCACATGCCATAGTGTATGCGTGTGCTATGTATGTGTGTTTGGTGTTTGCCTACATGTGTAAATTACTTTTCAATCTTGTGATTACTTTTTTCTACATTTAATTATTTTAATTACGGCCCAGCGCACACACAGAGCTAAGAACCAGGGGAGCCCACGGTTAACCCATTCCCCTTCCCAATCCCATTCCCATTCCTGCGATTAGTTCAAGGAACATGGCTGTCTTTCGCTGTGGGAAGGCGCCCATTGGCAACGCAAACTGAACTCAAGATGGGTAATCCATTCAGACTCAGACTGCAGCCTCACCGATTCATGTGCGGATTGATTAATTGCTGATAAATCTATTTTCCATTACCCACTCGAAAGTTCTTTATATATTCCCATGGAAGGTTTTTATTTAATATATACAGTTTTTTAATTGTTTGAAACCACATTAAAAAATATATAAATAATCATAGGCAACTCCTAAGCTGACAAATTACTGAAGCATAGCAAATATTAGTTCTAAAAGTTAATCTCCGAAAAATTCACCTAACTTCCCATTTTCAAATAAAATTTTCTCCAGAAAACACTTTGATTTATGCAATGACATGATTTCAGGGAATACTTTAGTCGTACACATAATTTTTGTTGTATCGAAAACTGGAAAATTTTGTCTGATGAAGTCAAAGATAAAAATAGTTTCCATTTGAAGCTCCTTTCTGTGTTTATGAGCACTTAAAAAGTTAAGCTAAAATTGAACACCAATCCTGTGGATTTATGTACCTTTAAAATGAAATTGAAGGAAATGCCAAGACCTTTAAGTTAAATACATTGCCTAAACTAAAAATTAACACTATGCCTATTTGTATTTTCTAGTTCCCCATGATGATAGACAGCTACACCAAATATTACAAAAACACCATGGAAGAATCAATCAATACTATGATCAAATATATGTATTTTTTGTCCTTCATTAAATAAATCATATCCAAATCCTATAACTCAACCAATTTAGCAAACTTTTTAAATCAACTAAGTTTATATTGATTTTCAATATTTAAATTAATTCGTTTGCCTAGGCTGCAACCAGCGTAAGCCTGGATCTTTAAGAAACTCTTTTATCGAACAACTTTGGAGTAGTTAAACTTGGCTCCAAAGAGAATTGGTAAGCAAAATAAAATAGATCAGTTTCTCAGATCGAATACCACTGAACGCACGTAATTCTGTTATCGTTATGTAAAAATTGGAAAAACTGTTCAATTCGAACTAGAAAACTTGGAAAAATTTTATCATGAATAGATTTCATGTGAACCGCCAGCGAAAATCATTTAATGTATAGAGAACTCAAATGAACACTCAAGTAAAAGCATTCCCGCCGATAAGACATGCGTGAATTACATACATATATACATGCATCCATATGTATGTACATATGTGTGTGGCTAAAATCACCTGTCAGCTGAATTCAGTTTAAATTATGTAAATTTTTACATCCATCAAAAAAATCACCTGCAACTTTCAGTTCATTAGAAACAAAAAAAAATTTAATAATTGGCCATGCTGCACGTTTTGATGTTAAATACAAATTCTCATTTTGATTTACGCAGACTTAAACTGAATTCAGCTAAAATCAAAAGCAAACATTAAGCAAACTATCGAACCATCGAATGCCATGCAGCAAATATTCAGATTATAATCCGCCACGATTCTACGTTCTCGATCTCGACTAAACTGAGCGAATCAAATCTGTCAACTAAATGTGGTTTATCCCCTCCAGACGATCATATTCACTGAACTGTAAAAAAAATCACACGCACACACACAGGAGCGTTCCACTGCGGATTCCAAATAGACGCATCGGCAGCAGTATCAGCAGTATCAGAACTAATATCACCATGAATATTATTAGTTGCATCAGCAGCAGTAGATCAGCATTAAAATCCAACGTAGTATGAGCCGTGGGAATCGCAGATACGAATATCTGTTTCTGTATCTGTATCAGTCGCTGCTTCATTCGGCACTACCCAAAATATCCATGCCCTTGCTTGGGACAACTATTCATGATGATGATGCTGATGCTGCTGCTGCTGCTCATGACGCTGATGATCGATCGACAGTTGCAAGCTTGACAGCTGATTCAGACCCGAGTAGATGCGCTGCGCTCTGAATCACTAGTCCAGTCCAGTCCGTATGTCCGTCCACCTGTCCGTTTGTCCATGCGTCCGGCGAATGCGTCAAGCACTTTGGCAAGTTGTGTGGCTGCTCTTAGTGAAGCTCGTATGGCCAGTGCTGATAAGGTGGGACTAATTTTAATGGTTGAGGCGCCAGAGCTTGAGCACCGGATTGGATCGATCTGTGTTCATCGGCGCCCAGCGATGACTACGGGGGATCAGCGGACCGCGGACCACGGACCACGGACCACGGACCACGGACCACGGACCACGGTCCTTGGACTCTAGACTTGAGTCGACGACGGGATAAAGTCATTTGTGGGCAACCAGCGCTGCTGCTGCCGTCGCTGCTTGCTGCCACCGCTGCTGTTGCTGTGCTGCTGCTGCTGTTGCTGCCACCGCTGCTGGTGCTACTTCTGCCGCTGTTGGAATTTACAATTAGAGAGGCCCCCCCAACCCCAAAAAATGAAAGCCAAATCAGCGACTGGCGGCGGGCGGCTGACGGCTGACGGAATGCGCCGTATCACCCTGCGCGCCCTTCGTCATCCCGGCCACGTCTGTGCGATTTTTTTCGGAGACATTTTGTTGACCGAACCCGAACCCGAATCCAACGCTCAGTCGACGTCGACGTCAGTCCCCCCCCCAGTATACAAGGGGTGGGCAGAGCTGCCTGAGCTGAACTGCGCCGACTCCATAACTGTCATACAGATAACTGTGCTACCAGCGGGCTTTAACGCTGTGCGACCAAACAGGAGAAGGCATTCCAAAGGGCCACGAAATGCGTTCGGCTTTTACTCCGAAAACACGACGCCCGTTCGGAGCGACGACGCTGACGTCTTTTGTGGGGGCAGCAACATCCATTCTCGGCTGCGACAGCGACAGAGGCGCTGACATCGACGCCAACGTCGACATCGACAACATTTTTGGCTGCAGTTTTCATCGCGTTCTAAGAGTTCGACAACTTTGGGAAAACTGTCAGTTGGCAGCGAACTTAGAACAGGTAGACACGCACGTTGTCGGCCTTTCTCCTGGGCCCCAAAAAGAGAGAGTAACGGTACGCGACGCGACGCGAAGGCAAAGTCAAAAACGAAGCGGAACAGCATAGAAAGGAACATAACGGAACACGAAACGACACGACGACCCGAAACACAAACGAGAACCGTGGTCGGAACCAACCAACTAACTAACCAACCCCCTCGCCAACGTAAACGAATTGTAGGCGAAGCCGAAGTCTTTTATGTGTATTTATGTGTTTGTGTGTGTGTGTGTGTGTGTATGTGTGTCCGAGTGCAATCGTAAAGAAGAAGCAGGAGCAAAAGGAAGAGCAAAAGCAGAAGCAGCAGATTAGCTGGGAATCCCCCGTACAGGCAGGCAGGCAGGCAGGCAGCAGGCTCCAAAGTGTTCCGATGCGTTCGTTCGACCATTCCGTTGGTTCGTCGTTTTTTTTGTTTGTTGTTGTTGTTGTTATTGCTGCTGCTGCGCCGCACGCTGCTAACACCGCTGCTTCTGTCAGCGTCGACGCCAACTGAGCTGGTCGTCGCGCTGCTGCCGATGTAAAATTTTATTACCCCAAAACGCATCCAGCAGTCGGGTTTTGGACGTCCGGACTACACCGCCGCCTCGCTGAGACAGACGACTTTTATTGCAATTCTCTCGCCCAAGCGGCGAAAAAGCGGCCCCAGACCCAGAGGCCAACCTCTTTTTAGAGAAACTAACGGACGGAGACAGCGATACGGAGATACGCAGAAACGTAGACACACGAAGAGCAGCAAAGAAAGCACGGAGAACACAAAAGAAACCACGGAGAAGCACGGAGGCCACAGAGACATTTCAAACTTTTGCGCGGCATCAAAGTTACGACAAAACAACAAAAAAAAAAAACAAAAAACTTTTCCAAACTACGCGCAAAACTAAAATCAACTCTTCCGGAGGTCGTGCTGCTTATAGACTAGTAGCCCCAGCCCCAGCCCCTTCTTCCGATCCACAACACCCTCTTCCCCCACACCCCTTAGCACCCGATTTTGAAACAGTGCAGTGCAAACAATAAATAAGAAACAAAACGAACAAAAACAAACCGAAATATAGTGGCAACAACAATTGTCCCAAAAAGTGGAAAGTTCGCGGCCTAATTGATATTGCGTATACGCCTCCGATGCCGCAAAATTTGTGCACGCTCCATCGGCCGATCTACCAAGAAGAACTTTAAACTGTTAAATCCCTGAAGACGTCGAAGCGGCGTGCCGCAGCCGAACCGTTGAAAAATTCATACAAATTTGAACCAACCAAAGTGAGTGCCAAAATACAAAAGCTATTTCGTTTTTTCTAGTTTCAATTATTTCAAGTAGTTTTTCTTTTCTTTTTTTTTTTCTTTTTTGTTGTTGTGTTTTTCCTCTGGTGTTTTTCCAAATCAGTTTGTGTGTGTGTGAGTGCTTGGTGTGTGTGTGTGTGTGTGTGCAGGTGTGTATGTGGAGGCAACAAAAAAGATGAAGATCAACCAGCAGCAAGTTCAGCAAAGCAACAGCAGCATTCACAGCACAGAAGAATGATTCGCAACACGAATGATAAAAAAGACAAAATAAATAAGAGAAAAAACACAAGATAAAAATGAAGAACAAGGCTTAAAAGAAAAAGTTGAAAAAGTGTCCAATCAGAAAGTGATAATAAAGAAGAATCAAATGCTTATAGAAAATCGGCAACCCCATGGAAACTGGAATCGAAAAAATTAAATGAAAAACAAACACAAATACCGAAAATCAAATAAACTGAATCAAAAATCGAAACAGAATCCAAAAAGAAATCTGAAACCAAACTAAAAAAAAAAAACAAAGTCGAAACTGAAACTGAAACTGAAACAGAAACAGAATTCACAAAATAGGTAAAGTTCATATATATTTGAATCTGTAATCAATCTCCTAGCCAATTTTGTCTCTCTCTTCAACCCTTAAAACATTTCGAGTTTCTCAGAACGCCAAAGAACCGAACTGATCCCAAAACAGACTTTTCCCTTTAATTTAGCCATATATTTGACCCGCCCCTGCCCCCAAAAATCAACAACAAAAAATATTCAAAGTAAAACAAAAATAAAAAAACCAAAAAACAGAAATTGAAACAAACGATGCAGAAAATGATACCCAAAAAAAAAAAAACGAAACTTAAAAGCGAAATATATACAAGAAATTCAATGCAACAAGAATAATCACATTGAGAATTTGATAAATTGACAAAACAAAAACGAAGAAGGAATTGAGCAAACGATAATCGAGAATTTTTTAAGGGTTTTACTCATACTCATATTCAATGGAATTGCATTTAGAAAATACTCGTAGTTGTGTGTATTATGAGTTGAGACCCAGCGAACGTTACCGCATTAGCAGCAGCAGAATGGTATTCTTAGATTATTCGAAAACTTTTGATTCCCCCATAGGATATTGTCGTTATCAATTAGCAAAAGTTCAATAAATATAAGTTGGATCATTCGCACTTTAAATTAGAATACAAAACTATTTCTAACTGAACGAATACAATTTTCAGCAAATAAATAGCAAAATGTTGGAAATCGATAATGTGACAGTCTTTCTTCATTTCACTCAGGCAATTTTTCGCATACAGCAAACAATGTAGACCAATAAATTACTTAAAATTATAAAATTAGTTTACAAAAAAACAAAAAAAGGAAGTAGCTGTGAAATCATTTGCTATTAGCGAGGCATCAGGCATAAGGGCCCTTGCATATCGGCAAGGCAAGTGTTTTGTGGTCGTTAATTATTATGTGTAAATATTTATACATTGATAGTAAGCAAGTCTTTTAAGTTTTGAGGTTGTGTAGCAGCAATAAAATATAAACATATAAAATTAGGGAACGAATTCACAAATTCCCCACTAGACAGCATATCCTAATAGCTTTGCTTGATATGCGTACAATGTATAGCCCACCCTGTACGTTCGATTGTATGTAACTCTTCAGATTCGGTTCGATTTTGTTTGGTATAGTCTCGGGGCAGGTTCTCCCTTGCAAGCGATCTTCAATCTACTGCGATTACGGATGCTGATGATGCTGATGTTGAATATAATGCCGCCTCACGCCTAACACACACAAAATTTCATCGCGTTATCAACACACAAATCGTCTAAATTTTTATTCAAATCCCAAAAATTCGAATCTGAATCTCTTCTGATCAGCGAACTGGCTTAGAGCAGTAGAGCCACCCACAAGATGGCGCTGTCCAAGCGGCCACTCGCCAAGGATACGCCTTTGGCAGAGAGCAACAGCAACAACCACAACCACAGCCACAGTCACAGCCACAGCCACAGCGGTGGCAACAGCATCAACAACAGCAGTGATCTGGAGACGACAGCTATCAAGCGCCGGAAACGTTGCAGTCGCGATGAGGATGCGACACTCAACAACAACAACAACAACAGTAATAGCAACAATAACAACATATTGCCACAAAAGAAACGAAAACAGGGCCCCATACTGGATAGCCCCGAGAGTCCACCTCCGACAAGCGTCCACACTGTCGGAACAGTAGCCGCCGGAATAGCCAAGATGACAGCTCCGGGCGGCGCCGCCGATGCTGATCAGGATGATGAGACACTCATACGGGAGACGCAGGCGGCATTGAAGAGTCTGTCCGGTAGCTGGCCCGATGCCCGGGCCAATCTGTACAGATTGCAGGAGCAGGACGAGAATCCACCGCCCTTCCAGAATCTCTTCGAAGAGAAACAAAAGTATGAGGCCATTGCACCCAGAACTCCCACAACAACTGCAACTGTATCCATGTTTCCACGTTTCCACAGACAGAAGGAGAATGACCAGGCCCGCCTCAATGCCGGCGCCACGCTCGAGGATCGCGAGCGGGGCAAGAAGCTGGCCCCGGTCACAGCAACTGGCACAGCTCTGGGTGGTGGACCAGACGACATGGATCTGGAGGAGGCCGCCAGCAATGTGTACGCCCAGGCCGCCTCGGCCTTCAAGCCGCCCATCGACTTCATCAAACGCAACTATGCGGCCGCTGCCCACGCCCACGCCCATGCCCAGGCCCAGGCCCATGCCCATGCTCACTACACGACAAGCGCCTACAATGCGTCCGCAGCAACAGAGTCCGCCGCCGGATTGGCCTACTATGGCTATGCGGCAGCCGCCGCCGCCAGTCAACAGCAGCAGCAGCAGCATCAACAGCATCAGCAATTGAGCCTGGAGCCGACTCCATTGCCACCACGGGCCGCCTTTGACATAGCCAGCCAGCTGGGCGAAAAGCCTTCAAAGACCAGCAAGGAGCCGCTGTTGGGAGCATTGCCAGGAACGGGCACAGGTCATGGTGGGTCCCAGGTGGATGCCAAACAGTATACGATCCTGCAGCCGGCAGGCGTGGGCAGTCGGGCAGCCTCAGTGATGCAGGACATTGCCCGGGAGGGTGTTGTCGGTGTACCTCTGGTTGCCACTCCACCATCCACGAGTAGTCCGCCAACAGCAGGAGGAACAGCAGCATCGACAGCATCAGCGACAGCGACATTGACATCGACATCGACGCCGGCGCCTAGCTACTCGCCGGGCAGCCAGAATCGCGGTAAGTTCTTCATAGTAAGCATAGTAAACGAGATTTTACAGTTTGACTGTGATTTGGTGTGAATCAAATCCCGGATACTGTGCTCCAGCATCACAGTACTGTGATTCGTTGTGGTTCGGTTTGGTCTCCGGTTACGGTTCAACTGATCGATCGGCTGATGATGTGAGCGAGACTTCTTGTTGCATTGAGTTTTACCACTTCAATTGGCAAAATCAAAAACAGAACAAAGCCCCCAAAACCCGCCCAAAACCCCACCCTCCCCCAAAACAGTCTCAACCCGTCCCAACCCCTACCCAAAAAGTGACAAAGACCTAGAGAGAGTTTTCCAGTGTGTGTGATGTTCTTATGGATGAATTACTTATAGGTACATATAGCATGAGCGAGCGGCAGTACACTGAGTACACCTTCAGCTACAGAACAGACAGATAAAGAACGACTGAGTGAACGTAGCAACTTAATCTAATACAATGAAAATTCTATGGTCATTCTCGCACCCAATTAAGGGAACATTTCTGTTCTGTGCTGTGCTGTGTTGTGATCAACTCACCAGAGAATGAGCGAGTGGCTGCAGTCTGTAGTCAATATTACCCACCCCACTTAAGAACCAGCGAAAATCACTGGCACACAGCAGTTACTCCAACTCTAGCATTCGTTCACAAGTGCACTACAGCAAGACACATCAATTTTAGTTACTGAACAGCACAGCTGTGATCATTCGAATACGAGTACTCGCCCAATGACCAGCGAGAAAAACGATCGACACAGCGAGTAATTTATTGATGATGCGTGAAAGTTGCCCCATCAAATTTAAGCACTTTTAAAATGCATTCAATTAAAAATTAAAAAACAAAGAACATTTTTTATTATTAAATCAATTTATAATCTGTAAAATCTGTAGTCCTCTTATTGTGAAATATTTACCACAAAATAGCTCTAGTTGCCAATGACGCAAAATTGCATTTATCGAATTATCGATGACTTTCGACTACTTTGTTTTCGGACGAGTACCAGAATCAGAGTCATTCCCCTATGAGAAATGTGCCACAGTGAAACACAGGGAGAGAATTTCGCGAAATACGTTTAGGCTTTATCATTAGGCATGCTTTGATCACAGCGTCTTAACAATTTTTGCAATCATTAAAATTCAGAACGAGAGAGAGATAGAGAGAGAGAGAGTGAGAGAGACACTCAATCTGCTTGCGTAATTGGCAACATTACGACCATTATTATAATGTTGGCTTTTGTTGTTATTATTTGCACATTTGACTGCTGCCACAGCACTCGACATTCACCTCCCCACTTGTATGAGCCCCACCCCCAGCCCCACTTCTAGGCATATCTAAAAATAAAACCCTTTTTGCAGCTCATTCAATACGCTGCTCTCTGGCTGGTAAGGAGCGTGTGAGAGAGTGTGAGTGAGGCAGCCAAAAGACATTAAGCGATTTTGTCGTTATGAAAATGGGATCGGGAATGGGAATGGGTATGGGTATGGCGTGTGGGTATGGGGTGTGGGAATAAGGTATAACTAGTGGGGCAGGGGAGCAGCAATTTTGGTGGCCAGAATGGGTGGGTAGGGGAGGCACACAACAACAACTAATGGCTTGTAAACCCTTTATACCACAATACACACACACACACGTTCAGAACTAGACGTAGACATAGACAGACACATCTTCTGGCTGAGTGAGTGCCTCCTTGGCGTTGCTTGGCTTGGCTTGGCTTGGCAAGGCCTTGAGCTTTGCCTTTTACTAATTTCGCTGTACAATTTCCACCAGACTGTCAGTAGTGTGCGGGGAAAACGTGTGGGGGGAGGTGTATGATTAGATATAAAGCATTATGAGCACGTTTTCCTTCAAAACCACTTTTGCATATTTATTTTGTCATTATGTTTTGGCATTAATATGCTGCAGAGGACCGCCCGCCATAGATGAGCCTTAAACATGAATATACAATATGCATACATACATATGTATGTATATATATAAATGAATGTATGTAGTAGGGTCTGTGTCGCTCTTTTCAGGCTTGACTTTGGTATTCATATAATTTGAATGACTTTTTAAATAGTTGACAGAAGGCTCGAAAGCTCTAAAATAGAGGCAGTTTCGAGTGTGTGTGTGTGTGTGTGTGTGTGTGTGTGTGGCACGTAATAAGTCATTAGCGTGTGGCAAGCACTCATATTCCAAATTTTGTTGGTATTATTATTGTTGCTGCCTCTCGCTAATGTGGCTTATTAGGCTTAACCCTTTGAGCATGTGTGTGTGTGTTTAGTTGTAGTTTCTTTCTTAATACCCTGGCAGAGGGTAGCCCTTCTTTTGAGCAGAGCTCTGAGCCAATGAACGAAAAATAAGATCCATAACGACAGCTCCATTTTGGTATATCTTCAAAAATACCCGATTGAAGATATATCTTTATAGCTTCGAATATTTAATTATTTTAGTGGAACTTTTTAATATTCATCGATTTCAAAAATCTGCAGTCTCTAAGGTCCGCCTGTTTTATGACTGATTATAAAGACTTCCACGATAACTGAATCATGCAGCTGTCAATTGTCTTTTTCTTTATATAGTAGTACCTGTAGTATTCTATAGCTCCAGCAGACACAGTAGAAATGGATAAGGGTACCCACTGCTTCGGCCATGCAATGCTGGAATTCTTTTCTGGTTATTTCCTACCGTATCTATTTTTGCCAAACATTTTTGGTTAGTTGAAAATATTCGAATGCACACAAAAACACTTGGCCGTCCTGCTGCTTGCTGCTGCTCGCCCCCCCTCCCACTTGATTTTAATTAAATTCTAATTAGAGTCGAGTTGGTTTTTACCTTTTCCGCATGGCGCTGTTCTGGCTGCTGCAGTTTGACATTTTGCCCGGCCACGTAATAGACACAACAACAAAGAGCTGGCAAAAGCAAAATATTTCGAAAAGTATTTCATTAACCAGGCCGCCCTTACACCCTCCCCCCTACACCACCCCTCACGACTGTCTGATATATCACACACGTTCATGCATATGTATGTATATGTACGTGTATATGTATATGTATATGGGTTGGGAAGGTACATATAATGGTTGTTATCTTGAGAGGAATACGCGCTTAGAAAAAGGCCAAGTTTTTCCGTTTGTACGACATGGTTTGGTTCTGGGTCTGGGTCTGGGTCTGGTTTGATTTTTGAAAGCTGTCGTACACCACCTACACTCCTCTACGCCTCCACACCCCTCTCTCGGGCTGTCTAATGTGTGCTGTGTGCCGTATGCGTGTATGTGTGTGTGTGTGAGCTTTTTAAAGTAAATAATGCAAAGCTGTTTTCCATCAAATTTTAATTAATTATTTAGGCTAAAAGAATTCGTATGTCGTTTGCTTTCCCAGCATTTCTTCCTCAAGGTTTGCTTTTTTGGAGAGGGTTTTGTGAGCACAAAAATATAGACGGGGTGCGGGAAGTGGGCTAGATCATAGGTAAAGGCTGCAAGGGGTCGGGTGAGGGTGGGGGTGGTAGAGTGGCATGGGTTTGGACAGCGTCAAACTTGTCTCTCGCTGTCGCTTCACATATAATTAATTAGAAAACCGCTCGCTTACTCGCGCGTCTCGCTGTCTCTCTCTGTCTCTCTCGCTGTCTCTCTCTGTCTCTCCCTGTCTCGGCTTAACTCGCTCAATCGCTTTTTTGCTCAGCGCTTCGTTGATATCACCTTTTTACTGTTAATTGGTTAATTGTAGATGGCGCCAAATGCCCCACGCCGCATTGCACTGGCCAAGGACATGTCACCGGATTGTATTCGCATCATCGCAGGTACCGTTGCACCGTTTAACCCGTGTTGTGCCGTTATGCGAAATCAATCTCTATCTCTTTTTCCCACTCTCTCTTTCTCTTCTCTCTCTCTCTCTCTCGCTTCATCACACTGCTCTGAACATGCTTGGCCTGGGCAGTTTATCGGGTTGTCCGAAGCGCGATAAGGTTACCACAGAATGTAAGTTGTCCATTCCATTCGTTTAGATATTCCTATGCGTTGTAGATGATCTATCCTCTCCATCTATCTGTGTCTCTCTACCTGTCTGTGTCTGTCTATGCTCTCACTCACTCTTAACACTCTGATACGCTGAGCTTAATTAAAGAATTCGCTGAGTTTTCCTTTCCCGTAGTTCGTACCAAAAAAAAAAAGCAACAAAATATAAAAGCATGTGTGTGTGTGTGTATGTTAATTTCTGTGAAGCTCTTCCTTCTACAAATACTCTTCTATAGCTTAGATTCTGCTAAATACTATATATTCTGAATCATCTCGGCCAAATATTGAATTCTTTTCGATTTTAGCTCTCAGAATCAGAATTTTTCAGAACTTTTTTTTCTTAGTTCTGTTTGCCATACACTTTGTTCTGTAATTCCATCCACTGACGAGTTCTTGCCACTCCGATGAGCTATGTCTAGTTTTTATGGTAGACCCACTTCAAAAAATCGTCTCCATTAAATATATATTTCATACTGCTTTAAGTGCTTTAAATTGTAACATTTTAAATGGAATTCATGCGACATGAGCCATAGCAATTCTTCTTCGTGTCCACCGTTCTTTTCCACAGTCATTTGAGAGTACATTCCTTGGATTCGCTATCCGGTTTCTTCTGCAATCTCCTTAGAGTCTCTACTTCCTTGCCTTCTCTTCTCTTAAGTCTCTTCCTATCTCTATTCCTTCCTCTGTGTTTAGTTGCATGTGGCTGTGGGCTGCCTAGCGGCTTGGCTTCCTTTACGAAAGCTTTGAGGAGGCTCTGCTTGAAATACCGTTAGATGGATCTCTCTCTCTGTCTCCTTTTCTGTGTCTCTTTTGCTCTATTGTCTCTCTTTCTTTCCTTCTCTCTCTCTCTCCCTCTCTCTGTGCCTCTCTCTCTGCCATGACTTCACTGGTTGTGTGGTATGCCTTTCTATTTGATGTTGATGTTGCTGTTGTAGTTGTGATAGTTTTGAATATCGCTGATCGTTAATCAAATTTCCCATCCACTCTGAACCGAAAACCCCGACCCGAATCGAATCGAATTGAATCGAATAACCAAACAGTGCTGGCCCTGCACGAACAGATACTGAAATGCCCGACACCGGGCTGCAATGGACGCGGACACGTCCAGCCGCACCGCAGTGTGCACCGCAGCCTCTCCGGCTGTCCGCGCGCAGTCCGTCGCTCTGCCAGTCGTCGTCTGAATAGCGAGCCCCCGAACATTGATCGAACAGGTGCGTCCGTCCACGAGGCCATTGGGCCATTGGGCCCAAAAGCGTCCACGGAACCCCACCAGAACCACAGAACCACTAAGCTGAGATTTGCAAACATTTTTTTCGAATTCTTGAAGAATGATCATTTAACTCGTCTCTCTCTCTCTCTCTCTCTTGCTCTCTCTTTTTCTACACTTATTTCTGTCTTATTTTCTGCGCACCATTTTTTGGCTTTGTGGAATTAAATGTGTTTAGCGGATTTGGAGAAGCACGAAAAGGAGCTGCATCCATTGGATAAACTGAAGATCGCCTCCAGTCACTATCTGAACAACAACAATACCAGTTGCATCAACAACAATAACAATAACAACAAGCTGAGTGCAACAACAATGCCCATTATCAAATCGGAGTACAGTCCTGTAGCGAGCATCAAATCGGAGTACAACAAAAGCCCAATGCACTCATATCTGGCCAACGATGCAGCCGGCCCCGGGCCCGGCCCCGCCTCCAGTGTGACGGCCAGCGCATCCACAACACCGGGCACCGCTCGCACCGCATCCGGCGGTGGGGCAACTAACGGTGGTGGCGGTGGCGGTGGCGGTGGCACAACCTCCTCCAATGGTGGCGATGCCAATCTGCATGCCCCGCACCTGAATCGCTTTGTGGGCATGCAGAGTCCTCCCCACCCACAGAGCCACCACTCACACGCCCACCACGTACAGCAGCAGCAGCAGCAGCAGCAACAGCAGCAGCAACACACACTCCACCAGCAGCGCGGACCCTTTATAAACGAGGGCAACGACGGTCCCGATCCTTCTGCCAGCTACCACACGGAGCACCAGCAACAGCAGCAACAGCAGCAACAGCAACAGCAACAGCAGCAGCAGGCCGAGGAGCGGCAGTACGAGCAGATGCGCTACGCCGTGGGCGGTGAGCTGCTGAGTAGCAATGGGGGAGCCAATGCCAGCGAACTGTCGCCTGGAACGGCGAGGAGTGCCTACGAGGCGCATCCCCATCCGCATCCACACCCACATCCGCATCCACATCCGCACCCGCCCACCTCGCTCAGCTCCCTCAGCAGCGCATCGGTGGGGGTGGGGGCGCCCGCCTTTGCCACAGTTGACTCCGTGTCGGCGGTGACCGTTTCGACTGGGGCCGGCGGCTTCGAGCGGTACGACCCCAACTGCTGTCCCAATGGACAGCGCCAGGTGGCGTCTGTGGCGGGCGTGGCAGCTGCCTCAGCATCGGCAGCGGCGGCGGCGGCAGCCTATCACTATCTGCCGCAAAGCGCCGACGATCTGCAGGTGCAGCAGCAAAAGTATCTGCAGGAGCAGCAGCTTATGTTGGCCAAGGCCGAGCACGAGGAACAGTTGGCCAATGGCGGCGGTGCGGGGCCGATATATCCACGGCCCATGTACCACTACGATCCCACCATGGGCCCCCTGCCGCCGGGCTTCTCCGCCATCAATCTGTCCGTGAAAATGGCCGCTGCCCAAGCGGCCGCCGCCGCAGCCGCCTATCAGAACCAGCAGCAGCAGCAACAACAGCAGCAACAGCAACACCACCAGCAGCAGCAGCAGCAGCAACAGCAGCAACAGCAGCAGCAGCAACAGCAGCAGCAGCAGCAACAGCAGCAACAGCAACAGCAGCACGGCAAACAGAGCTCCTCGCCCACCCCGAATGTGGGAGGCGTGCCAGCGCCAGCGGTTGACCTATCCGGATCCACATCGGTGACCTCCTCCAGTCCGCACGGTTTCAATTCACCAGCCTCCCACAACCAATACAACCAGCGCATGGGCAACGGCAGCCCACAGCCGGGCGCCAGCCCCAATATAGCCAGCCCCCAGGTGCCCAGTCCGCAGGGACAGACCCTGGACCTCAGCGTCACCAGACTCCCACACAGGTAAGCAGACAGCACACAGCAGTTTCCAGCACAGCATCCACCAGATCACTCATTAGTTGGGATTACAGCATCATCACCAGTCCCCAGTATGGGGCCGATGGCCTTGTCGTGGGCCATGCCCAGGGATTTGGCAGCGGAGCGCCCGGCGGAGCTCTGGGCCCCAACGGACCGCCGCGCTCCCCACAAATGGAGCCCGTCGATTTCAGCGGCCCGCCGCGACCACTAGGCTTCGGACTGGTCGGACACATCAGTGGACCGCGGCCCTACAGCCGTGAATCCACGCCGGACAGCGGCGGTTCACACTACATCGAGACGTACAGGGATCCCAGCGGTAAGTAACCAACAAAAGCAGAACGAAACGGTTCTAATGGGAGCTGTGAGCAACGTCTCAGTTTGATCTGTTTGTTTGTTCTTTCAGGATACTCGCCACATCCCGGATACGGCATGGTGGTGCAATCGGACTATCCACCGGCTGGCTATCATGGCTATGGCCCAGCCGCGTATCAGTGCAGCAATCCGTATGCGACGGCGGTAGGACCCGGCGGCTATCCGACGCCCGTCTCCGGCGGCTATTCACCAAGCCCGGCCACCTGCTACTCGATGCCACCGCCGCAGCACATACCGCAGCACGACAAGACCAAGGACGGGTAAGTGCGCGCCAACAATGGGCCTTAGAGAGACCTCCGTGTTCAATGAATTCACCACAAAAAAAAAAAAAAGAAGCGGTTCTTAAATATATTCATCAGGCAACTTTTCAAGTTCCATAAAATGTTCCCGGAAATATTTAACTGAAATGTTTCTCAATTAGATTTAAATATTCCGGTTGCCAAACTTAGCAGAAAGGATTACAAAAAAATTACAGTCCTGAAAAAAAAAAAGGGAAAAAAAAATTATTTTAAGACTTTTTGTCATGTGGGTTGCACATCTATCTATGTAGCCATCAGTCAACCGAAAGTGTCCATCGGACAGTGTTGCACACCCACCTGAAGCGAGCTCCGCTTCAAACGAAATGTCGCTAAAGCTTTCAGGCAAATCCAATGAGCCACACGCCCGGAGACTTTAATATTTATGATTAGTGGCGGAGAGTGGACGCAGAGCGGTCATAAAACCAGTTCCCACCCACTCAATGGCAGATGGTTTAATGAAACTTTAAAACTAAAAGTTTCAAGACCAAAGTCTTAGCCAACACACACGCAAACCCCCAACCACCCACCCACACACACACACATACACATAGTAGAAGGAGCAATCTTATCTGACCAAGAGCACTCTTGGCCTGGTTTAATACTTTTGGGTCAGGCAGTAATCCCCTTTGTACGTATGTTCCATCCACCCCGAACCAACCACAGATTGACGGGCTGCTCGCGTTCCGACCGGAATCATCTGCAATCGCACTCGCAGGAGCTCAAGTGCCCCACGCCCGGCTGCGATGGCTCTGGCCATGTGACCGGCAACTACTCATCGCACCGCAGCCTCTCCGGATGTCCACGGGCCAATAAACCCAAAAGCAAGCCGCGCGATGGCCAGGACTCGGAGCCGCTCAGATGTCCCATACCAGGATGCGATGGCTCCGGTCACTCCACCGGCAAGTTTCTCTCCCACAGAAGGTGAGTTGGGAGTGTGGGGTCTGTTCGATATTCCAAAGGGGTTTTCTATAAAAAGGAGTCGATCTCTCTGTCCATTCCAGTGCTTCGGGCTGTCCCATAGCAAATCGGAACAAGATGAGAGTCCTGGAGGCTGGGGGCACTGTGGAGCAGCACAAGGCCGCTGTGGCTGCTGCCACAGCTATGAAGTTCGATGGTAAGAACCCTGAAGAGAGACCACACAAGAAGCTTTCATGATCACCATCTGGCCTTGCCACTCTTCCTTCCTTTTTGTTTCTCTCACCTGCTACAGCCTGCACCACTGTGGGTGGCCAGGGAATCAAGAAGCCCAAATTCGATGAGGTCACCATGGTCTATCCCAAGGGTTATACAGGTAAGTTGTCAAAGGTCTCTATCTCTCCTTCTCTCTCTCTCTCTCTCTCTCTTGCGCGTTTCTTTTTCTGTTATGAACTGGGCCCATTGTCATTATACCACCCCACCTCCACCTCTCAACCAGGGCAGAGGTTGGGTCATAATGGCATTTTCCTAAAGTCTGCAACACATAGAAGAATAGGCTGAGAACAGGCTGTACATAGTTATCAAAGAATACAACAAAAATCAACCTAATGTGGTTCCAGCTGACCTTAAATGGTACTCGAATTCCTCGAAAAGAAAACCACCAGATAAAGGTATTCTCATAGCTTTTGATTTAACATTAAAAGTTACAAAAAAAAAAAGTCATAATAGAAGCATTTCCACGGGCGTTACCAGCCACTCTCATTTTCTTTCGAATGATTAAGGAATCGCTTTCAGCTTCGTGACAATTTCACAAGAATGATGCCGTTCTTTTCAGAAAGGGAGCCTTAAAGGTTAAGCCCCATTAAAGTATTCAAAAAGTATTCCTTTATTACAATTTCCATCGCTTCCACAACAGAACTATCCTTAAATTGTTTTTTTTTCCGTTCCAACAAGAATATTGAAAAATTAAAAGAAAACAAAAAAAGTAGATGCCAAAATTCGTCTCTGTTGTTGCCAGATTTTAGTTAAAAAAAAAAAAAAACTAACTTTCGGTTGGAGTTTTGTGTGCGTGTGCTAACGTCAAAAAAAATAATACTTACAAAAGATTGAAAAAGAATAGATAAACGTATTCCTAAAAACATGAGTTACAAGTCTATATTCAAAGAAGAAACACTTTATTTTTGGTTTTGGTTTCGGAAAATGCTAACAAAAAAAATAAATAAATAAAAGAATAGGATTTATGAATTCAAAAATCAATTTTATCATTTTCAAATTAAAGAGGATACGGGCTATGAACAAAACCCCAACAATCAATCCAACACCAAAATCCCAAAAAAAAAAAAAACCAAAACAAAATACCCCACTCCACAAACCAACCAATAAATCCTCTATTAACAACCTGGTACATAACATGAACGATCGACCCGTTGATATCTCTAGGCACACACACACAACTTATCCTTTGTGTGTGTGTGTCTAAAGAACAAGAGAAACAAAAGGCAAACAAGAAGATAATACAAAAAGAGAAAGAAAAAAAAATAGAAGAAAAGAAAAAAAACAATAAAAAAAAAAACATTTTAAATTCCTAGTTTTAATTCTAATTTAATTCTGTGTTCCTTCTTTTCGTTTCGTTTCATGGTTTTTGTTGGCGTTTTCTTTTAGATTACGCAACATTTTGTATCGGTGCCGAGTATCTACTGTAGATAGAAAATGAAACTGATCAAAAACAGTCCGAAATATCGAAAACCTGAAACCACAACCACCAACCAAAAATAAATGAAAAATGCAAATGAAAAAACAAAAACAAAAACGAAACTGCAATTGCACCAGCAAACAAAATCAAAAAGCAGAACAGAAATACAGAAAACCCAATAAAACAAAACGAAAACATGTATGTATGTATGTATGTATATACATATATGTACATGGAGAAATACATATACATATGTATATATACAGCAAAGCGAACAAGCCACAAATTGTTATACAAACCACACAAAAAATCAAAAAACCAAAAAAATAAATTCAAGTAAACCACAAAAAATGTACATACAAATAATCCCAGAGAGTCTGTCGATCAAGGTAAGCCACGAAGATACATACATAGCAACAAACACACACACACACATACATGCATACATATGTGCATATGTATTTTAAAGATGAAAATCACATATCCATCCCATATCATATACCAATCACTGCCACATCATCACTCACTGCCACAGCCACACAGTCCAAACACACATCAAAGCCACTCTACTCAAGCGAGGCACTCACTCGGTGTTTTGAAACTCAAACTGTGATGCATCGCTTAAAGATAACTTCTTGTGGCCCAAGCTGCAAGCAGTTACCCCCAAAACTCCATTGAACGTGGCTTCGCGTAAAAGTTCCATGCGACGTTGACGCGTCAAAGCAGTGAATTCAAGCAGTGACTTCAAGCAGAGTATTCAAGCAGAGCAATTTCATTTTATTTGACTATGGAAAGCCTAAGCGAACGGCACAGAACATGGCTCCTTCATTTCCATTTCCCCTTATTTACTACTGTAATTTCCAAGAAGAGTTTCACGTTCAGCGATCCATGTGCATTGTATACAAGCTCTGTTCCACGCACTCTATTGATCCACTCAACCAACCACCCACCCACCCACCCACACACCCACGTACCCACACACGCTCCGATTGAGTTGCTAGCACACGCGCACATAGAAAACCCGAGGAATGCCAGAGACAAGAAGAAAAACAAAACTAGATCCTAAGAGAGCGCTACCGGGCACACCCACTAACTGTGTCCTTTGACCTACCATTCTCTCTCCCATCAACTATCCCTAATCCACCATTCAGGAGGAAGCGGCCTGGACATTGTCATGAGCGGCGTGGGCAGCACTGGGGTCGGCGTTGGAGGCCTTGGACTCAACGTTAATGTTGGCCTTGGAGTCACCAGCAGCAGCAACAACAGTGCCCACAGCAGTCTCAGCAGCAGCAACAACAGCAACGGCAACGGCAACGGTGGCAACAACGAGAAGAGCGGAGGAGCGGCGGCAGCATCCGGCAATGGTAGCGACGATCTAAACACCCTGGAGGCGGAGATCTCCGAGCTGCAGCGGGAGAACGCCCGTGTCGAATCGCAGATGATGCGACTCAAGTCCGACATCAATGCGATGGAGTCGCAGCTGAGCACCAGCGATCGGGTACGTAGGCTCAGGTTCGTTGACGGCAACAAATTATGAGATGAAAAAAATACATTACACACAAACACACACACAGACTATATCTAACTAGGCTAAGTGCACCCTGTAGCACATAATATGATGGTCATAGGGAAATTTTACCCGCCTCGCCCCGGAAAGTTTGGCCAGACTTTGCCGAGCAGAAACTTTGGCTCAAAACGAGACTTTGAGTGGAGTTCTTTTTCTTGCCCCAAGTTCTTGTTATTTTTATTTTATTATTTTTTTTCTTGTTTTGCCCGAACTGTCTATCGGCACCTGAATTTTGTCTTAACACTTTTCAAGGACGTCTCCAAAGCCAGAAACAATGAACAAAACTACAGTAAAGTCAGGCAAAGTACAGTAAAGTGAAGTAAAGAGTAAAGTAAAAACTTTTAACGCCGACGCGTCATTGTACGATTAACTTTGTTGCTATAAGTACGCGCGTAGTACCTACAAATAGTAGTCCGATTTCAATTAAATGTTGGATTACCATTTGAAGCGATATTCCAACTAAAAATAATTGCCCAATAAATGGAAAATCTGTTCCTTGGTAGAACATATAAAGAATTCACTCAATTTTTGTTTGCAGTAGGAAATATCTTTCAGTTGTAAGAGGAGCAATCAACTTTAGATTTAAAATTCAAACCGAAATGCACTTTGGACGTCAGTCCCTTCCCTACCCACCCGAATGTGTCAGCCAACCAATCGGTGACGTTGCATCCGCACTGCATCTGTGGCAGCGAATCAGATTCCACTAGGTAGCTGGAGAGGTGGCAGGAGACAGACACACCCCTAAACGCAAGCGACAAGCTCCCATACACACACACACGCATGTCCCTAGACCACAGTGTGTGTATGTCAGTATGTATTTTGGTGTGAGTGATGCTGGTCATGCGCAGGCAGCTGCAGCCCGTCAGAGGCGAGGCGAGGCACCAACCCAACACGCAGCAACCCAGCAAATCGCAGAACACCATTCGATTTGCTCCTAAAACGGACAAAGAAAAAAAGAAAAGCAGCAACAAAAAGAAATACACACCAAATAACTGTGCTACGGTCAAAGCTGAGCAGCGTGCCAGCAAGCAAGCAGAGGGGAAGGTGGGTAAAGCTACAAGCAGTTGTAGTAGCACAAGCAGCCAAAGCATAGCACAAGCAGTGCGCTGCCGCAGCAGCAGAGCTCAGGCAGAGCACTGGCAGAGGCAGCAGCAGCAGAAGAGGCCAAGGCAGACAGCATTAACCTTTCGTAGCCTCCACGCTGTCGATGGTGCGGGGGAGACATGTGCGTCTGTGTGTGTGTGTGCTCAAACAACTCCGAATATCAAGAGGCAAGGCAGAAAAAAATATAAGGGAACCTGCTCTCCCACACCACTTAGCCTCTCTCCCTCTCGTTTGTGCGCTCGTGACGGCTTCGTCGATGATTCGTCCTCAGACGATTTCTTTTTTTTTTGTTTGTTTGTTTGCTTCTCTTATTGTTGTTGTGCCTCCTTCGTGCTCTTCATTTCATGTCATCCACTCCTGTTTTTTTTTTTTCGTATTTGTGTGTTTGGTGCGTTCTTATTGGAATTTCACTTTGCTTGAGATACATACATACATAAATATGTACATGCATATGTGCACATAACGGTTCATGAGTGGTTCTGTGTAGGGGTGGGAGTGTGAGTGTGAGTTAGGCGAGGTGCATAATGTTCATACATATGTATGTATGTATGTATGTATTTTTAGAGGTAGAAATGTCCAACCCTCCCCATGCGGGTTGTGGCCAGCCCCCAAAAATTCCAAACGAAAGGAACAGCCCACACCTTCACTTCAATTCGATACGAAGCAACCTGATCCCTGCTCCCAGATACTCGGTACTCAGTTTCCATTGGAAATAACATTGAAATGCACTTGTTTGAGTGTGGATATCACAGGGGGATCTCTGAGATCTACATCGAGCTACGGCAAGACGTACCGACGCACAGATCCTTGAGAATTTTAGGAAATTGAATTAATTGAAACCTGGCCCCGTGACCATCGCCTTTGTAGTCTAACTCCGCCCTGCGATCCGGCAGCTTCAATACTTTCTAATCAGCAACGTAACCTCTCTACTTGCCTTCTAATAGGAGGCTTCTCCATTGAGCGGCCATCAGCAACAGCAGCGCTCCTCCAATGTGGCCATGGCTTCGCCCAGCGGTCAATCGCCCTTCGCCAGCGTTAGCTCCACCAGCGGTACCGGCACAGGTGCCGCAACCAGCTCCAGCAACAACAACGGAAGCAACGATCTGGGCCACTCGATCAGCAGTCTGACGCCAGGCACCGGCCACAGCAACCCAAACACGAATGTCGGTGGCATGATGTCGCATGCACCGGTGGACGGGAGCGTGGCCCCGCCCAATGCCAATCTAAACAACTACTACGAGAGTTTGCGCAACAACGTGATCACGCTGCTGGAGCATGTGCGCCTGCCACCGCCACCGGCACCGCCCACTTCGGTCTCTGTCTCGGCCTCGATCGCCGGCGGTCAGTTGGTGGCGGGCCATGGCCTGGACAGTGTGTGCGCCGGGGGTCAACTGATAGCCGGCAGCGGCGGAGATCACGCCACGGCCTACTCCACATTGCTGCCGCCGCCGCCACCGCCGCCATCGGCCAGCAGCGGTAATATTGGTGGCGGAATGTACGGTCATCAGGGTGGGACGGGTACTGGTGGTGGCCCGCCACCGTGTCCACCGCCGGTGCCGCCGCATCATGCCTATACCGTGCATCATCCCGTCAGCTATGCCCACCCACACTCGCATCCGCACGGACATCCGCACGGCCATCCGCACGGTCACCCGCACCCGCATCCGCACGAGCACTTCGACTCTTACATCTCCAAGCTGCAGTCGCTCTGCGTTCCGCCCGATGTCTATGCCCTGCCCGATGACGCCGATCGGACCGTCTACAATTCGGTGAAGCCAAGCATGCACCAGGACTACGGCAAACTGATGCCGACACCCATCTAAACGAGGAGGATATCAAACTAACAGCCGGTATCCAGCCGATGTTCCATCCCGTCCAGGGTTCGTGAGTGTGTATATATACTACCCAAAGAGTGGAGAAAACAGACTATATGTAAGAATTGTGGTGTGGGGTATTGGGTACAGATGCTTTAACCTGACGAACGAGGCATCTCCCGAGCCCAAGGATCTTTATACATATAGCGCATGGATATCTGTAGAGATCTACGTATATAGCGCGTGCTCCTGGAAAACGGACAGATCCTTTTCCTAGTGTTAGATTGAGCTGTTGCACATCCTATATCCTAGACGCTTTCGTCGTGTTGATAGAAACTGTATAAAGTATTGAAACCTAATGAAAAAAAAAAACAAAAATAATAAGTGTGTAATAATATTAATTCATAATACGATTTACGATTAACAAATTTTTTTTTTGTCTGTATCAAATACTAAAAGAAAACTAGAAGTTATAGAAGCATACATAAATATAGAAGTAGGAGTTTAACAACGTACATATATGTTAATTGTAGGGCATTTGTTTGGTGTTGATGTCTTGGTCAATTTTTTGCATACAAAATGGATAATGTTCTTAAATGTTTAATCAACCCCTCCACCCACACACACACACGCAAAAACCCCACCCCACCCCAGCCCTAAACCCCAAAGACCGAGTTCTAGTCCCTCAAAGTAAGTTTAGTTTAGAGAAAAAGTCAAACACCAAAATGTGGAGATAAAATGATATAATAAAAAACATAAACGAGAAAATATATTCAATACTAAAGTATAGAGGATGTAATCGTGTTACAATTTTTTTTTTTTTTTGTAATATTGAATATGAAAGGGCAAATGTGTGTGTAATATCAAGAGATAGTACCCAAAACTAAATGTATGGTGTATCGCCGGTATGTATGATCTTTATGTTTGGGGCGGCAGGAAATACATATGAATATTCCACAAAAGAGCATACACAAAAGGTATATAAATATGCGTGGTTGCCTCTGTAGGATCATAAGTTTTAATGTGACCCCCCAATTGCCGAAATTGGCGAAAAGGCATTAACCAAGGCCCCCCACAAAGAAAGGAAAAACAAATTGGCGAAAAATCAATGGAAATAAATAGGCTAAAATTCAGTGCAATACATTCAAAAACGAATAACGAAAAACCAGAATCATAATTAATATAATTGTGTAAGCTTAAGTAACAAAAAAGTAGTTGAACATAATGTCACCTTTTTTTTGTATCGTCTTACGTCTAATCATAACATTAAATATAATAACTAAAACAAAAGAAAAGCGCGAGAAGGAAAATAAATCGCCAGAGAGGAGGAGTGATGAAGAAAAAGGGCACCCAAACCAAAAGGTAATTTAGACGAATTTTAAAAAATTAAATTAAATTAAAAAACAAAAAAGAAAACCAAAAACCAAAAGCAAAAAACGGAAAGCAAAAGAGTATGGAAAAATAGCAGGCTTAAAAAATGCATTGTACTTAATGAAGTCAAAAATTATGATGATAAACATAATTACACTAAAATAAATACAAATAAAAACCAAATTAATATATATAAATATATATATATATATATATATAGTATATATATGAATATTTATAATATTGTATTGTATGACAAGAAAATTCTGTAATTTACAAGCGAAAAATATTTTATGTGATCATTGTCATTTTTTTTTTTAATATTACAAGAAATAAATAATTCGAATACCAAATAAAGGATATACACAACATGATGGCTGGATGTTTCCAATGCGGTTCTTCGGGGGGTATCTACATATCGGGGAGACAGATAAAAAACAAAAGCTGCGCCTAACCGCTAAGAGTGGTACGTTCAGTGTGTTTGCAAGAAACCCACCAACTTTAATACTCATTTCTGTTATATTTCGATTAAATTACCTCATGGTTAGCTCACGTATTATTCTACACCTTTCAGAGCTGTAATACCAATTGGTTCATCGTCGTTTTGGATCGTTAAATGGCACGAAAATTTCTTTATCTGCGTTTTTTTCTTTACTGCACTCTTATCCTTCCATACCCTCAAAAGAAACACGAAAACCCTTGAACTCTATTATATTTAAAATATAATTTGTTAGAGTAATAATATATGCATACATCAATAGGTGTGAGATTTAATGTTGTGGTAGAGGATGCAAACCCCTAAACCACCATCAAGAGGGCCCAGTACCATCCGCACTTTCGTTTCTATTTTTGTTAGAGAAAACCATATAGAATATAAATCAAATAAAATATATTTTCATCTTACCAGTTTAAATGGGAGTTCATTCTTTTTATTTGGGGATTATAGGAGTGTGTGCCTGCTCTTGTGTCGAGAGTGGATGCAAGCCTCTAGAGTCTAGACTAACTAGAAATGGGCCCCGGTACCATCCACACTCTCGTCCATAGTTTTCTGTTAGAAAAAACATTTAAAATATTTAACCAATATCTACAAAATTATTCTTGCCTGTTTAAATGGGTTCCATGTGTACTTTTTCACTTGAACATTAACCGATCTCTTCGCAACCAGTATGTAAATTGAAATTATTTTGGTGTTTTCGCCACACCAACGTGTCAGTAGTCGTGTTCAGTTTGGGGGCCCGGTACCCTTTCTCCAAGGGTGCCCGCTACCATACGGACTCTAGTCCGAATTTTTCTGTTAGAAAAACAATTACGAATTTGTTAGCTACATTCTAAATTCATCTTACCTGTTTAAATGGGTATATGTGTGCAGTTTTAATTAAAATAATATTTTTTGCGCAGTTTTCGAAACACATGCGAAAGAGCAGCCGTGTCGAGAGTGGATGCAAGCCTCTAGCCTATCTCGAAGACCGGTTCCATCATCACCAACAGAATAAAACCGCAAAAAAACAGCACTGAGCATTAAAAACTGATTGGTAATTTCACTAATAATTTATTTTTACTACCGATTTTGTTTAAATAAAAATACAAAAACTAACTGTCTCACACGAGCTCTGCCAGAATAATGAATATTTTCTGAACAAAATCCTTTGGGTTGTCTTGACAGTTGGTTTTGAACAGAAATTTGGCCTACTACGGTGCCGATTTGTTTGAACGAAAAGAATGCAGGTCTACCTACCATGCCTAAAAGATTGAGTAGACGTCTTACGCGCCTTTAAATGGCATGCTTAGGCCTGAATATTGCTGGTGCATTTGCCAGGGATTCGTGGTGTTTAAGCCGAAGAACAACAATCTCAATGGACTGCGGTTTTTTAAGTGAGTTATTACCTCGCAGTGGGCAGAAGTTTTCCTGATATTAAGTAGCTCATTAATAAATGGGCTAGTTATATACCTGGCTGGTATGAACAGCCGCTGAGGCCTTTGTGCCTCATCAGTATCTTCTATCGCAAAAATGCAGCTGTTGCTTAATTGCTTGCATCTATTTATTTACCGCTAATATTGCGATATTCGAATTAGCCGTTAATTTTTGCTTTTTTTTCTGCTTTACATTAGCATAAATCAGTGGTGGCATTTTTTTTTTTTTTTTTGGCCTGGCAATCGAATGAAAATTACTCAGTTATTTCTTGGCAACATTTTTAATTTCAATTAGCCCTGGCACTGACCAGGAGAGACCCTCTCAGTCCACCGTTATGATGGATGAGGGCAAACCCATGGTAGGGGAGGTGGGGCGTGGGGCCATGAAGGCAGAGATTGTTGGGCATTTGGTGAGGATTGCAATGTTTTCTGGTTTGCTGCCACTTGATTTATGTGGCTTCATTAGACATTCCGCACATAGAGAGTCCCAACTATGTGTGTGAAGGAGAAATTCAGATGGGTGTATACACTGTACATACATACATACATATGAACATGGATGGGTTGAGCGTGAAAAAGAGCTATAAATGGGTTCAGAGTGAGAGGACGATGTATGCGTTGTGTGTTGCAGTAAGAGAAGTAGTGAAAAGTTGACTAAGTGATTGCCAAAAAAAAAAATAAAATAAAAAAAAATAAAAGCGAACACGGCCAAACACTATCAGAACCAAAAACGAACTTCAATGGCAGGTTGAATGTGGGTTTGATCTCGTGGAATGGGAACATCTGTAGCTGTAGTTTTGCTATTGACCAGCATGGAATATTTTTGGTTACCACCTAAGCACTCAAAGGGTTTAAGCGCACAGAGTAGTGCTATGGAGAAAAAGAACGCCACCTCCAAATGAGGGCAAAGGGTTCTTCGGTTCAGGGTCCCGCGTTCCATGTGGTGGGGTGGGGGTGGTGTGCCGGGTCAAGCTTTGGTTTCTGTGTTTGCTCGTGTGAGCCGCAAAAATATTTGCATAGTTACCTTTAATGTGGTTCGACAGCGTTCCAGCAGTTGAGCTCGGTTCAGAACGGTTTCAGATTGGTTCGGTTTTGGTTCGGTTCAAAAAAAAATGGAGTGGAGTCTAGTGGAGTTGAGTTCAGTCTCGATGCAAAAGTTCTTCAACAACAAACGAACAAAAGTTTTCTTTGCACACACACACATACACACACACAGAGTCACATATGCGTTGGCATGTAATTTAAAATGAAAAATTTCTATTCTTTTGACACAAGCCCACTCGCACTCACGCTCACACAGGCACATACAGATACATACATACGTCAACAAGCATTGATTTCATTTGCATAAATAAGGAAAAACTCGAATGGGTAACTCTGTGGAAAGTCTGTGGGTACCACGGGGCTGCTGGTCGGTGGAAGGGTGTGTAAGTGTGTGTGTGCATGGGGGAAGGGGGGCACGGGCACCCTGTCCTCCCTGATAACGTTCAGCAAACGAAACTATTGCCTACTTTTAAGCGCCAAGCGTAGACAATTGCAAGGCGCGACACTGTGCACAGTGTCCACCACAGCTGTGGTCCGACATTCGGGAATCTGTGCATGAAAAATTACTTCAAAAACTCCGAAATTTGTTTGCATTTATTATTATTATTATTATTCACCCATCCAAACGATACATTTTAATGTTTTATGTATTTGACATAATCCACGGAACTGAATGATATTTTCCATATAGGTAGGTAGGCTGACTTTACCTATGTGCATACGTTATGCAGAAATTTGTATATACCTATGAACAGCTATAGTTTTCTGTATTTTGAAATTACTCTGTCAGTATAAAAAGAAATTAAAAAAAAAAACAGTAAAAACATCTAAGATGTTTAATAGCTATTGAATAGTTCGAAATAACAACCAATGCATCGTGAAAAAAAAGTCCATAGCGCACTGTTAAATAGAATAAAATAAAATCATAATTATAATTTATAAATTATAACCATAATTATGATTTTTTTAATTTTTTATTTTCTGTATTTTGTATTATATTTTCTGTAAATTTTAATCTATTTTTCTGGCAGAACATATATTAAAAATGGAATGAAAGAATGATAGTACTTGGTGCACAATCCAAACCTATGAAATTATTTCTGCTATGATCCCTGTGGGCAATTTATGTGAAGACTTGATGTGGATTGGCCGCCAGATCGTATCCCATTTGTTAACCGTTCCATGAATTTTAATTACTCTGCCATGTCACTGTGCAACGCACTCTTGCCTGCGCCCCCTCTATCGAACAATACACATACAGCACCCCACCCCCACCCAGCTCTCTCTCTCTCCATCTCCACCTATTCGTACGCTGTGGGCAATGGCAGTCAAAAATCGCATAAATTAAAAAACTGCACACACTCACGCACAGACAGAGATACAGAGAGAAAGCAATGGGGAAGGAGTGGTGGTGGGGGGATAGGGCAACCCTTTGTACAGCTCACACACACACACACAGCTGTCGCTCACCACCAAGGAAGTAATAAAGTATCTCGAAAGTAACTTATTAACCATGCTGACAACGCTGCCAGCTCCTGGAGCGCTCCCTCGTAACTTCAGACCCGGAGCCAGGCTGTGTGTGTCTACACACATACTCGTGCATACCTCAATGACAGAAGGGGAGGGGGAAGGATGGGTGAGAGCTGGATGGGGGGTAGGTAGTCATGTTTCATGTTTGCTAATTGCAAGTCGATTTTTCATTTCACATTTCTCTCCAGAGTGTCGTACTGGACCTGAGCCTCAGATACAACCTGAACCCCAAAAACGGAAAACCCCCAGCCCATACAAATATATATATAGATATATGGAGCTGGAGATGGAGCAACACAACCTGAAGCTGGACAAGGAACTGATTGAGTCTGGGACTGACTACCCGGCCGTAAGTGGAATTTGTTGAGGTTTCCGCTGACCCACTCAACCCCGGCCACATCCCGGAAGGGAATACACACACACACAGACACAGACACACAGGCACTGCAAAGGGCAAAAATATTTAATTTAAAAAAACAACAGCAACAAAATGAATAATAAAAGAAAATAAATAAATAAATGAAGAATGGGGCATTGGGGCACGAAGCTTTGAATACACTGGAAGTTGTATATTTTATAGATTCTGATCAGGAATACATATATACAATACATATGTCTCTTATGGGGTACAAAATCTTTCTTCTAGCTAAAATCGCTAATACCCCCAGAAAGTGTATAAAACAAAGTAGAAATTATGGATGGACTGGGGTGTGGGCGGGCAAAAAAGAAAGAGGCAGCAAATGGTTAATTTAATTACAAATTCTTTGCTTTCTTTTCCATTGTATTAAATTTTCATGGGCTCTGACATCAGTGTACGAGGTGTAGTGGGGGGTGTGTGTGTGTGTGTGTGTGTGTATATGCGTGCATGTGTGTAGCACCTGCTGTCATTGCCATCTTTGCTACATTTTGGTCGCTTAAATACCCAAGAGACTTAAGAAACGGAGAGCATCCTCCTCAGCCATTACTCCCACCACTCAACAGCAATCACCACACACACACACACACACACTGACACACATGTTCACACACACACAAACACACACACAGCCACACATGGTCACACACTGATTGTCCTTTCAATGAAAAATAGCGCTCATTAATGTTGCTCATTAGCAGCCGCAACGGGCAGGACTTTTCTTGGCTTTCGTTTCCCGCTCCTTGTTTAGCTGCTGGCATTGACATTTTCCCACTCCAAATGTCCCCCGACATCCTCCCCAATTTCCCTTTTCCCCTTCCTTCGACCATTCAGCAAGTGTCAACTGGCAAATGATTTGCCATTATTTACTAATAAAACTCATCGAGTTTCTTCTCTGCGCTAATCGAATGTGGGCTCTGTGAGCACCCACCAAGCACACACCGCACTCATCTGCTAGCCCCACACTCCACACTCTGCTGCTGCTCCTCCTACTCTAAAGCTGCTCAAGTCTTCACGAAGGGAAAGATGTCCCCAGTCAGGCAAAGGACTCTTAATTCAAAGCGACTCGCATGCTTATGCTCACCAATGACCTCAATCAACGTGGTCAAATTAGGAGCACGATGTGGCAGAGCATGTTGAGAGAGAGGGATAAAGATGCCCTGAATTTGGGTTAGCTAACAAACCAAACAAAAGTTGGTTACCTTAAGGTATTTTGTGATCTTGAAGTACGTTCTCTAGGATCTTAAATCAACAGCTAAATAAATGCATAAGTTCTGCCATTTGATTTATTTTCAGCTGATTTATGAATCTGCAGATAAAAGGGTATGTTCAGATAAGGTAGAAACACTTATATATTTGAAATATTTAACCGATTTTGATCTGCCAATAAAAAAATAGAAACTTGTAGCTTTTCGGCTTTAAATTCTATCAGCAGACCAGACAACCCATACACCAGATACGATTATTTTATTTAAGGCATCTCATCAATTCGATTAGCCAGTCCTTTAAGTTTTTCAGTGTTTTAGGCTTGAAGGCGAATATTTATTCCAATACGAGTATCGAGGAGAATATGAGCTAGTAAGCCAGCTCTCTATGGATAACGCTATATATTTTATATATTTTCAAAGAATGAACTAATATTAAGGCTTTCGATTTTGCATATCCTATTGTCTAATTGATCCACAAGAAAAGAAACCCTATATAAGAAATAGAATAATAAGAAAAATAAAAAGGAAACAATATTTTAGCCTTTGCTTTGGATGAAATTCCCCCACTCAGTTCAAGGTTGATTCCGATATGTGTCAATCATTTGTGGTCCCAAATGGTTTATTGAAGTCAGGGGGTCGCCCCCTGGGTTCTTTGTCCAGCTACAGCCACGTCCAACTATGACTTCGATGGGCCGAATGGGCTGAATGGGCTGCCATTCAAACTCTTTCCTTTTCTGTTTCTTGGCATTTAATTTCGTTTATTCATTCGAATGACCACAAAATGACATTTGCATTTGGGCAGCGGTCAGCTCCAGACCTACACCCAGACCCAGTACGACTCTCAACTCCCACTGAGGTCTCATGTGCTGGCCACCAGGGAGTTGGGCTCGACAGCTCTGGCGTGGTGTGGTGTGGCGTGGCGTGGAGTGGAACGTGCGCCGAGATGGAGCGGGAGAGCCAGGGTCGTCTCTGGGGTTGTCTCGTAATCCCGTAACAAATGAACGGCACAGTTGCAGAAAATTTGTTTTGACAATTGAAGATGCTCACAGCAGGCAGAGTGCAAAAATTTATAAAACTATCAACTGGTCCTCCATTTGTCTGTGTGTGTTTTTTGTGTGTGTCTGTGTGTGTGTGTGTGTGTGTGTAATTAATTCTCTGCTGATTCGGCATTCGTAGGCCGAACCAAAAAAGCACAATTAAATGCACAGCACAAACACAATGCTGCCAACAGCTTGACTGGACATGCCACACAGTGGCACACTGGCCACACTTTGATACTCTCTCGCTTTGTTTCTTAAATATAAACATAATAAATATAAATATAAATCTTTCAATGGGTTTAATAATGGAATATATTTTTTATTTGATAGCTACATAAATCGAATATCGAAATGCAATTTTTTGAAAGACTTTATGAGGAGAGAGTAGCCATAGTTTGGGTGAATATATGTATTTCCAGTTCAACCAATTTTATATTAATGTTGCAAAAACTAATCTATATTTTTTGTATTTATAGAAAATATTGTGAAATAAACCCAATGCACTCCATGATCGGATTTTAAAGTGGGGGTCCATCATTATATTTTATTGTACTATTATCTAACAACGAAAAATAGAAATACAGTAAAAATTCCAAGTGTCATTTTGTAGACCATTTGTTTTAATATTTCATAGACTTTTAACTTTAATCCAAAATAATAGGAACACCACACATCAAATATATTTTATTTCGTAAATTATTTTATGCTATATACAATAAATGCATAAGCTAAATATTCACGATTCGAAGGGGAGTGCAGGTACATTGGAAACTTTCAAAATAAATTGCCTAAGCATTGAAGTGTTCCAAAGGATGGTGTGGATAATGCAATAAAACATATAATAAGACACAAGAATCAACACCTAAGCGAATATCAAAAATATCCCAAACTTATGAGAGAAGAGTCGTGAGACAAAACAATTAATTAACAACAAATTTTCTAAGCTACGAATTATATTTAAAAAAGTTTCCTTAAAAAAAAAGCTCATAATTTATACATAGAATATGATGCTATTCGCTATTTGTATTAAATATGTGGACCACCGTACCGTGGAGTTGTACTGCAAATGGATAGGTCCAAATTTTTTGGATGCTGTTACTGTAACTGTAGCGCCCGTTGTCGTTGTCGTCATCAGCATTGCCATCGCCATAGCCCATCGCCCATTGCCATTGCCGTAGCCAAAAAGCAATTAGCAAAGTTTTCAGTCTCCAAAACACTCACGGTGGGGTTGGAGGACGGACCGACCACTCGTACAGTTTTGCTGGGCCATCATCAATCTGGTGCAGTTGCGCAACCCCATGGCAAAGACAAGGAACGGTGAGGCGGGGGGAGAGGACACCACTGCTGCTCCTCCATCGTTCATTCTCCATCCATTATGGTTGCACCTAACTGTGAGCTGCCATGGCCAGGGATTGGGACAGGCGCGACCATCGTCATTACCAATTATTCATGGATAATCTAACCCAAAATGGGACGTTCATTACTGGCGCATGTCCGATGGACATTCGAGTAACGCTCTTCACACCTCTGCTCTGCTCTGCTGTGTGTGTGTGTGGCATGAATTGCAAAAGCATTGCCCCCAAAGCGAAACATTTGCTTTTTTTGGATCCAACTGTAAACAGCATAGAGTCGCCCCCCACTCCCCCCCTATCCGCATCCACGTCCGGGCCACACTCTTTGGCCATTTATCGGGTGATTAATTAAGCTGCAGCATTAAGGATGCAGCGTACTCTGCTGCTGACAACTCCCCAAAAAGAGACAGTGCTGCTGCTGTAGATTTACTATAAATATGGAACTAGAAATGGCTTAAATATGTACTTAGAATATATAGAAATCACAAAAGAGTTCCCCAGTCTGATTACTTGATTGATTACAATTGATTATGTGCCGCATAAAATGTCAGAAATTCAAAGCAAAGCCACTTGAGTCGAGCAGCCCTCCCCATTTGGAAATATTTGGTCCTATGCTCAAAACAAAAACCGATAATGGACCGCAATTTAACATGAATTAACGTGCAGAAAGGAAATTCAAGCAACTTAAATTTAATTTAAATTTAAATTAAAGGAATTACAGGAAATATAATTTTTGCAAATACAAAATGTATGTATACAAGCTTTTACCAGCTTATATGTATGTACTGTATACATGTACATATGTCAGCGAAACAGAGTAAATATTTGTATCACTTAGTCATTTTATTGATTCGCTCCACTGTGTCCCCCATTTGTTTGTCCTCAAATTCATGTGAAACTCGAGCGATCGCTGCGCGTCGAAGAAGTCTCTTGTTATACCCTTGAAGCATGACTTGTTATTCCCAATATAACAGAAAAAACACACTTTTTCCTTACGTTTCAAAAGATAATCGAAATGATTATAGACAAGGATTAAACAGCAAAAATTTTACAGAGACATTAAATTAAAGACAAAACAAACCAAAACATTCCTGCAACAAATTTCTCGGCATGACAACGACAAGCTACATATATGTTTACATTTGTTTTGTTCCATAGAAACCAACCCACTTTGAGGGTATCAAACTTTTGATCACCGAAGCCGAAGCTTCGCTTCTTGTGTTCTTGTGGCTCTTGTTCCTAGCTACGCTCTCAATTGTATTTCCATATATATTTTTACGAACAAGAGGAAACATTCCAGCTGGATTTGGTTACAGCAACCAGCACTTCACATATTCCCATTGGAATGTTTCAACTCGAGAGAAAAACTTTATTTCTTTTTTTTTTTGTATACACATACATACATATATTTCTTGTTGGCTATTTCCATTTATTTACACCTATGATATTACAAACTTCATTGGAAAAAAAATGGGAGAAAGGGTAAGTGTAAGTGAGTGGCTGCCTCTGGAGCTCTAAATTCAAGACAGAAGTCAAAGCAGTCGATAAACAATAAATAGCCTTTCTGTAAACATTTCTGTAGAAACAATGATGTCAGAGGGGGAAGGATGATGCGTACGAATTGTAGAATCAGCAAATCTTCATACATAATTTGCCTCGTTCTCGTACTGGATACTGGATAGCTCCAATGCGGCACTGAACATTTGTTTATTATTCATGAATTTTGATTGCGGAGAATCATAATCACAATAGGAGTTCTGCAGTGTCTTAATGCAAGCTTGATTCATTATGTACCATGCATTCGCTTGCATCCAGGGTATAGGTATACTCGTAGAAAATTCTGGGCGCCATCCATAGTTCAAATAAAAAGTATGATTTTTTAATTTTTGTCAGTTATCAGAGTCGAAACTCAAAAAAAAATACATATATTTATATATATTTGTTATGTGATTCTCATCCACAGTTTCAGGGTTTTTTGTATTCCAAGAAAAATTAAAATATAAAAAAAAAAAAACATTAATTAAAACTAGCTAAATTTTGGCAAGGGCATATCCAAAGCCTTGGCGGTCTGCTTCTTATTTTTTTTTTTTTGGTAAGATCTATTGCCATTCGGGTAATCAATCCAGTCATGATTTCGGTCCGACACAAATTTACAATTAATTAATTAATTATGTATAATAGTTACATACAAATGAACGTCAGAAACAGAAAGTTACAATGTTTTGTTGTTGTTTTTGTTTTGGGAACAGCTCCTGGGGACAATAGTTCGTCAGATACTTAAATCGTATAAGTAAAATACAGGATCTGTTGTAAAACCTCCAGATAAATCCTATGCAGGCGGAAAAAAAATAATATAAACATACATTTTCCTCTTTTTGTTTGTTTTTAAATATATAGATAATCTTAAGATCTAATGCTACGGGGAGGGTGGTGGTGGGGGGGGGGGAGCAATATCCAATATCTTGTTATGGATATATATGCAGATATTTTGCAGATGTCGCCTACGCGTGGGTCAACTTTTCCGCGATAAATTTAACGAAATGGCTACGGAACAATATCGATGGATTGTCCTCGTTTGCATGCTCCTCAACCTGCCGCAAGTCCGTCCACTTCCAGAGCAGACGGCGTGCATAGCTTTGGCGGAAGGAGGCAAAGATTTCGGAGGCCTTTTTATTATTGGGTATACTATCCTTATAATACGACTCCTTGTTCTTGATGTTGAAGTAGTAGACCTGGTTGCGCGAACGCGACTTGGCCGAAACATAGTTCTGATCCAGTTCGCAGAGCATTAGAATGCTGCCGGGCACAAAGAACTTGTTGTCGTCCAGTGAGAAGCCAAAGCGCTGTGAATTATCTTTCAGCACATAGTGGCGCATGTCGCCAAAGAACTGGTTCATGTCCTGCAGTCGAAAGAATGGCTTGCTGCGCAACGGACCGTGGGCGCGCTCCTTCTTGTACGGTTTGTTCAAGCTGCGGGCATACTTATCGCACATGCTGATGCGATCGCATAATGGACGACGCCGGATGTCGATGCCGCCCAGGCAGATCCCGTCAATGATGTGCAGCGCGGGCACACGCTGAATGGTGCGACCCTCACCGTAGAACTCGAAGACGATCTGACCGAAAAATATGGAACGTGCCTGCACCTCAAAGGACGCCTCGACCAGCTCCCACTTTTTGTGCTCCGTGTAGCGGAGGAGATTTCCGCGCGATCTGCACATGAACAGGCTGCAGCTATTGATGTTTGTCTCCTCGCGACCGATGGGCATGAATATCCAGTCTCTGACATTCTGTACGGTATTCGAGAGCGCCGTCACATTGTTCATCTCAGCTGGCGAGAAATTGAGCCAGTTGCGATCCTGCGACCAATCGAGCAGCAGCTCCTCAAGCATACGATCGGTTGTTTTATTTTCTGGCGCCTGACGCAGCTTATCGGGCAGGCCCCAACGCTTGAGGCACTCCTGACGCACCTCCGACTGGCGTGTTTCCTTCAGCTCGGCATTCTTAGCAAAGGCAGCGATCTTGTGCAGTCCGACAACCTGCTTCTTGCCAATGGCATTGTTCGAGTCGATGATGTAGCGCATGAAATCGCCATCCGCAGCGATCTCGTTGGCGTCAAAGATCTCGAGAATGTCGTCGCCACTGTCGCGGTCCTCGTTGAGCATTATGTTGATGGTATTCATGAAATTGATAATGGCAATGGTATCCTCCTGCTTGTATTTGCAGATAAGGTAGCGCTCCGAATTGGCCGGGCGACTGCTATTTGGCTTGATGATCGCAATTTGATGAAAGCATTTGTACATCAGGTAGATCAGACCCACGCTGAACGGTGTAAATAGATCGAACACCTTGCACACAAAGTTCCCGTTCTTGCGCAATATTTTGAGTGCGGTGAGGCACTGACACAGATACAGCTGCTTCGACAGAATCTCCTGTATGTTCTCCTCGCCCTCCACCGAGAATCCGCCGTCGGCCATGGCAAAGTGTACCCCACTGGGTGTGTGACGGCGTATGTACTCGTTCAATGAATCCTGATTTTGGTCATCGAATATGTTGCCATCATCCTTGATGCCATAGTACGTATCGAAGGACTCCGGGGAGGCGGCAAAGAACTTCTCCAGCTTAAAATCGTTGGCACCGCGCAACGTGAAGCCGAATCCTTTTGCCTCCCACGATTTGCGGAACAGGACATATTCAGAGAAGCCGCCAGGGCCTGGGAAAGAGGAGCACACATTCAAAAGAACTCCATCTGATATCAACCGGCATTGGCATTTGACTCACCCGCACACATGTCCGTAAAGTAGAGCAGCTCCTTGGGATCCACCAGATCACGTCCCTCCAGATCTTTGGGATTGGTGAACATGTAGTCGCACATGGAGTCAATGTTGGCCATTTTAACGGCGGCCCGATTGAGGAAAATGGAGCTGCGTATCGTCTCAAATGGATTGCAGCGAGACCGGGCCCGACGTTTCTCGTTGTCGTTAAGATCGTCAAAGGCCGACTTCGAGTTAAGGATGTGTTGGAGGATTTCTGGATCACAGTAGCGATTCTCATCGTCCAGACTGCGTTTGCGTTCACCAAAGACGAGGTAGCCCATCAGTTGATCGATCGTGTAGTGACTGGCATTGTAGCCCATATTTGTTAGCCACTCGAATGTCTCCGGCATCTCCAGCTCCTCGCAGTTGGGGTCCCATTGGCCAGCGGCCAAATGGGCTGCGTCCAGCTTGAGGCCAAAACCACGACGACCATCCTGCTGGACAGCTATAATGGGCTCCAAGCGACCTTGATTGCTCTTACCCAAACCCTTGTCGTTCTCGTAGCCCATTTTCTTCATCATCTCCATGGCCTTGTTGGAGTAGCTCTTCACCCACTCCCGCTTTATCTTCTTTGGAGTGGGCTCCGAGTTCTCATCGTCGGACTGTTCCTCCATCATTGCTATGCACTGAATAAAACTAAGTTTCCTTAAAAAGTACGGCCAGAAAATTTGTTTACTGGTATCAAACCAAAGAGGGCACTCTCGATAGTATCGATATTTTGCTGCTAGCCTCTACTATCGATGCTTTTGAGACTATCATGTATCGAGCTACAGTTGTTGCGCTTTTTGGATTCGCTGCTATAAAATACGAAAACAAATTTGAAGGCAAATCGACAGGTGGCATCTAATTTTTACAATGGACAAGTTCCTAAATGGTTTTTTAATAATTATTTGAGCCCGATACTATTACGATAGTATCGATTGTTTTTTCAAAACATTCAATGTAGATATTCCTCGATTTTGATATTCCGTTTAATATTACTAGCTAGTTGGCCCTCTCAGCCCGAAAAAAATAGTTTTATCCGATAGATACATGAATTTTCTACAAGTTTGGCAAGTTTTCAGGAGTCCTTTTTATTGCATTGTTCAAACAAAAATGGCCAAAGTATAAAACGAAAATGTTGACTAAATGTGACGACAGTGTTGCTGGTCAACCAAGTTTCTTCTATACGTACGGACTTTTGTATACCTTATTTCTTTTAATTGATGTTAAATGTTTTTTTCCAAGCTCCATTGAAACATTATTTATGATTTTATCCTAGATTAAAATGTTTTTTACCTATTAATGCACATGTTTGTGTTTTACATATACATTTATTCCGGTTCTGATACCTATTATTGGAACCCGTGAGCTGCAAAATTTCGTTAATATCTTTAAAACAGAGACTGAGTAGTTTCTGCATTAATTGGAGCCGAAATTACAAACCATATCTTAAGTCCATCATATCCATTTTCCCAAGGTATGGTATGTAGATTGTTGCTCATTCCGTGCCAAAGTTGCGCAACAATGCTGCTCCTTCATATCCCCATGTTGCTGAAATTTTTCCCATACAAATCAAATATATCTTACGGGAACGCGTAAATGAATCTTCATTCCATACACAAAAACATGTGGCTCACACCACGAAAAGGAGGGGAAAGCGATCTCTTCACCTCGGAAAAGAGAGACATTTTTGTAAAATTTTGAAAATATTTTGAAAATTTTTAGAGCGAAAAATGTCAGTATTTTTGGTGGTTTTCCTTCTTCCTTTTTTCGGGAAATGTTTCTTTTATGGGGATTTTTGTTTTTAGGGCTGCCAGATCAATTCAAAGCGAATCGGTAATGAAACGGGCCACAAAATATCATTATGTATCATATCATCTGGCAATATGGACCATTTAATATTCCATTAGCAATATCCAATATATTTCATTCATGTGGCGGCAAAAACTCAGCATTCAAATACAATTTTAAATCAAAATCAAAAGGTTTTCCTTCAAGGGTCTTACAAAATATGGCGAAATAGGTTTTTTAATGAAGAATGTCTATCGGTTTCTCTCACTACATCTTTTCGTAGGTTTCGGTGTAGGGACAGGTGAGGCAGGTGTGCGTGTACTCGTCCTCCTCCTCGTTGTAGGTGTCGGGGCCGAATTCGTGCTCGTGTATAGCATGCGTTTTCTTGGTATAAATACTGCTGCGGACCTCCATGCGGAGCTGCTTCATCTGTTTGTTGTACTTGCGGGCCTTGCCCACCTCGCGCTTCTCTTCCCGACCCTCGTGCTGGCGGACAAGCTCCTCCTCGCTGCCCCACACCTCCATGGCCCGTTTTTGGACCTGCGAGTGCAGGTAGAGCTTCATTTCGCCCCAGCGCACATTATGGGGATTCTTGCGGCTGATGTAGCGCAACTTTGGCTCGCGCTTGTCAAAGTCGCAGTCCTTCAGAAGATACTCGGCCTTGGCCTCAGTGCGGGTGATGAGCGAGTGGCGCTCCTCGTTGTCCCGGCACTTGTCGCACACCGAGTGCCCAAAATTGGTAAACAGATACGAGTCGGCAAAGGGTTCGCCGCACTCCAGACACTCCTCGAACACCACCGGTATGGCAATGGCATCGTCCACGAAATTGGCCACTGCCCCATCCTCTGGCTTGTCGGCAGCTCCTGCTCCAGCCGCCGGCAGCACAGGCTGTTCCAGCAGGAAGCCACCGCCACTGTCAATGTATTTGGTGCCCTGCACCTTGATAACCGAGCTGCCCTGACTCGGCCCACCCTCTGGCTGAGTATCCCCAAGGTGGCTGAAAAGAAATCAATTCGAGGGTAAGCTCTGCGGATGGTTAACGATGATAGAAGGTCAAAAACCTACTTGCCGAGTTCCTTGTAAGGATGCGAGACAAGTTTGGCCTCTCGCAGTCTCTGGGCCTTGGCCAGGTTGCGCTCAATGCGCGACTTCTGGGCCGTGGTGAGAGTGGAGGGGGCTACCACTACTGCTGCTGCTGCTGTTTCCTCGGACATTTTGCCTGAGCAAATTCTTTTCAGGCGCCAAGCAACACAAAATTCCAATTTGTAAACTATTTCTCTGCTTCCTCCACAATTGGCATTCACATATTTCGTACATCCGAGAGACTTCCCTCTCTATGTCACACACCTTGCAGCTTAATCGATATATATCGGATAAGATGATCATATATTGTTAAAAACTTAAAGTTTTGGACGCTTCAGACATACCCGCCGTGTAACAGCAGATAAATAGTGGCGATTTAATCTGAAAGTAATTCCCTTAAATGATATATTCCACAAAAATATCCATTTTCGCCAGTCCCAAATAAATATCCCCTGCAATTATTTATCGATATTTTTGTACATCAATAAATATTTAATATCCACAACACTAATGTTAAATAAACATTTTAAATTGCTGCTAAAATGCTCACTGGCGATTCCCATCGTATTCCTAATCGACTTCTGCGGCCTGCTGACGCATCTCCATGAGCTGGACTTTGAGCGGCACTTCTACTACCCGCTGCACGATGCGGGTCTGGACTCCTCCGGACTTTCCCGCTACGGATTTCTGCAAATGCCCGCATTCACGGGCGTGGATCTGCCCCGATTGACTGTGGTGGTGAAGAGCGCCATTGGCAATGTGCGGCGACGCCAGGCCATACGCAAGACATGGGGCTACGAGTCGCGCTTCTCCGATGTTCACATCCGTCGCGCCTTTTTGCTGGGCACCTCGTCGGACAACATGGACGATGTGGCCCGGGAGGCCAAGGAGCATGGCGACATTGTGCACGCGGACTTTGTGGATGCCTACTTCAACAACACCATCAAGACAATGATGGGCATGCGCTGGGCCAGCGAGCACTTCAACCAGAGCGACTTTTATATGTTCGTCGACGACGACTACTATGTGTCGATCAAGAATGTTCTGCGGTTCCTTGGCCGCGGCCGGGATACCCATCATCCGGATCTGCTGTTTGCCGGCTACGTGTTTCAGACGTCGCCGCTGCGTCACAAGTTCAGCAAGTGGTATGTCTCACTGGCGGAGTACCCGTTCGACAAGTGGCCGCCGTATGTGACGGCCGGCGCCTTCATCCTCTCCCGGAGCGCCCTCCTCGAGATGTACGCGACCAGCATGCGTGTGCCGCTGTTCCGCTTCGATGACATCTATCTGGGCATTGTGGCGCTCAAGGCAAACATACCCGTCCACCACTGCGACGGCTTCCTCTTCCACAGACCCCACTTTTCCGGTCCCGATAGCTACAGCGGCGTCATAGCCTCGCACGGCTTCAGCGATCCTGACGAAATGGTGCAGGTGTGGAATGAATGCCGGTCGGCAAACTACGCGTAGCACACGCCTCTGACTGCGACGGACAATTCGGAGGTCGAGGGTTACTCCACTCGACTGTACATACAGATGTATTATGACGTAGATCAAAACCAAGCCTTATTAAAGTATAGTCTTGTTTTAAGCCTATGTAATGTGTAAATACATATATTAACGATGAGCACGATGCTTCCTTTTAAGCAGTAAGCATCAAATAATAACTAAAAAGGGTCTATCACTAGTAAACCTACGATATGTTACAAATAATTATAGTCAAAAACTAACTAGAACTTGTCCGATGCTGGCGGTGTATTTCATTACCTCCATAGATGTGTGGATGGAGCCTGAAGTATAACTTTAAGGGTGTATAAGGGTACGCCAAAGTTAGCTTACTTAAATGTTTATGTTAAAACGGTATTTTATTCCGCGTTTTAGCTCAAGCTGTTTAGTTGTTTAAATAAAGGGGGCTTAAGTGGGTTCAGTTCGATCATGATTTTTTGTATATAATACAGTATATTTAATACATTTTGTAGTATATTACGGTATATTTCTGTTGTTCAGAGTACATAAAAAGAAAATGTATAACCTTCATGGTTTAAAAGGAAGAAAAGAACATGTTTGCTTATTTTGAAGCCTCTAAATTATAAAGCAATACCAAGAATATGAATTGGCATCGAGATACATACATATATATAAAGGAATCCAATTAAATTCATGAATCGGTAAACAAAAGGTCAATCTGAAAACAACGTCATAATTGCTCATGTTTTAAATCAGCTTGTCAAGCACAATTTTAACATTAATTAAAGAAAACTGGGTACAAAAATTGCTATACTCTACAAATTAGTCGTTGTTATGTAGCAAATGTGTAGTTACCGTGCAGCTAATTTGAATTGAAATAGAAATTTTTACGCATTTAATGTAAAAGATATCATGCTCATTTTTGTTTTGTAAGTAAAAAGGAAGGATACACAAACAGAGTTCACAAACAATATAACTCAACTTAAGTTGTTCTGCTGTTTAAATAGAGGGGACTTTAGTGGGCTAAGTCCATTCATTTTTATCGATAGGTCCGACTGGCTTCGGGGCGCAATTAAATTTTTTCGTTCAGATTGGAAGTTCAAGTTTCAAGCCAGTTTCGACGTCCATCCAATCCAGTTAGCTTGTGCGCTCCGCGAACGAATTGAAAGAAAGAGTATTACTTAAATCAAGTGTAAAGAAATTACATAGTGTATACCGCTTATATATAAAAATATATATAGCAGTCCCAACCAACCCCGGCCAGCCAGCTACACCCCAGCAGTATCTTTTTTTTGTAAATCCAAACCAAAAAAAAAACAAAAACTTAAGGTGAGCGTACAATTTTATTTATATTAATTTTCATCCCCACCCATCGCCCCCTTCCCCTTTTATTGTGGGCCGGCAATTTCTTTTCAATTCGCGATCCATTGTGGCAGCACAGGCCAAAAGAAATCTGCAAGAGAAGTAGAAGACAGAAGAGAGTAGAAAAAGCACTTAACTGGTTTTTTGTTGTTGTTGTTGACTGCGCTTCTTCATTGATTGCAATAGGATGAGAGGATGAGTGAGAGAGGGGCGGATCTTCAGCCGAGGAGTGCTTCTGGTTATTCTCAGATTTGTTATAAATATTTATGATGGTGGTTTACCCGTTAGGTTTTGTCTCTCTCCCTCTTGCCCCTTGTAAGACGCAGCTGTTGAAACGCTTTTGTCGCCGTTTGCTTTTCTGTGTGTGTGAGGTTAAAGCTTTTCTTTTGCTCCCTCTCTCCCTACCTGAGCGCGCCGGCCGGCATTTTTTAACTTCATTTTTTTATACGTCTCGTCTGTCTGTTTGTATGTGTCTGCTGCTTTGGGCGGGGCGCTTTTGACGCTGCTTAATATCCTCCCCACGAAAACTACAGCTTGCGCGCAAGTCATGCACATGCACATGTGTGTCTCTGTTTGTGGGGCGTGGCAGCGGCGCATGCAGCGATTATTCTGTCACCAATTTCGAATGTTTTATCGCAAAAAAAAAAGCAAATTTAAAATGAAAAATGTAGCAGCCGAATGAGTAGGCCTTGCCGCCTGCATATGTGCATATTTAAAATTCACTCTGTACTTCGCTGTCGCTTATGCACATACATATATATGCACATACGTACATATATACATTTGTATGTACATATGTATGTGTGTACGTGCCGCAGGAATTGGCGACGCTGGCAGCGCCGGCGAGGGTGTAAAACGGACGTGTCTGTCATTTCTCATTTCTCCCCTTTTTTCGAATTTCATTCTGCGCCGCTCTGTTGCTGGCCGTCTGCTTCTTCTGCTCGGTGCTGTGCCTCAACTTCTTCTCGCTCCCTTCTCCGTCTGGCCTTTGCCACGCATCAGCACTCTTTTGACTCATTTTGGCTTTCAAATGTGTCCAAAACTAATTTTTTTTTTGTTGGTTGCTTGGCGCCGACTCCACCTCCACGGGCTCCCCCCCTCGTTAAGAGCTCCAATCAGCAAACAAAGTCATAAACCCAAAAGCACTACAAGATATAAAATTAACAGAAACAGGAAAAAAGAAAGAAAGAAAGAAGGAGAGTGGGAAAGAGCGCTGTGTGAGCTGTGGAAAGCTGACAAAAGACGGTTGGAAAGAAGCAGCCAAAAAGAGAGTGTGTGGGCAGAGCACCGGCAACAACAAAAAAAATAACGACAGCAGCAATGAGAGCTGGCAAACCGCAGCAGCAGCAGCAAGCGCTGGTGGCGACAACGACAGACAGACAGACAGAGCCGGCAATGGCAATGCCAACGGCAAACCGTCCCGTCGGCTGATGATTCATCGGTCGCTTTAAGCGGGGCGACCATATTTTGAAGTTGGAAGTTGATTCACGGCAAACTTCATCCTATCCACCCCGTCAACCCGTCTCCACACACCTCATACCATTCCAATCAACTCATTTTGTATGTACATACATATGTATGCAGAGTTGCATGTAGATTCTCCTTTGTTTGGCTGCCTGCCAAGGAGCTGACTAATACGAAACCCCGTTTATGCGATGTCAATTAATCGAAGGCAAATCGCTAACGACTCCAATGGGCGATCAGCATTTAATAGTTCGCGATCAATTGGTAATCATGATCCGACGGCTGCGCATAAACAATTTCAGAGACTTGAACTGTACGCTTGTGCAATGTGAGGATTACTCAGACGGGGAGCGCTCCCTCCCGCTCCCCCAACAATTGCAACAATTTTGTATCAGTTGCAATTGTCGCAAAAAGAGAGAGGGAGAGCGAGAGAGAGAGATAAAATGGACAACCCCGTATAGATGCACCTTGGCTGAGCTTAGCTTGGGGGAGTGGAGTGGGTTGGATTGAACTTTTGGTGGGGCGCAGCGCAGCGAAGTGAGGGGAGGTGGCCGGTGACGGTGACTTGCCACAGGAGGCCGTTAGTAGTAGTCAATCCACAATGATTGGCTATCCGCTTTAGGCGCAGCTTTAAGACCATTTATGGTCTGTAAATGCACAATACACACACATGCATATATGAATGTGTGCACAAACATATATGTATATATGTAGTATATAGATTTGTTGGTTTTGGTGCGGTCGCTGCCCTTGTAACGCTTGCAGCTGTTCAATTATTGGGATGCAGCAGCAAAACTACTTGATGACTTGATTTCGATATTGATGAAAGACGGACAAAGCAAATTCTTTGTGGAAATAATAATGCTGATAGCGAACATGAGTAAGGCACGCACACTGAGACCCCGACCCTGCGACCAAGTGGGGACCTTTAGTTCGAATTTTTGCAACTAAAAATAAACGTGATAAAATGCAATTTAACTGCCCGACCACGGCCCCCCGTCTCAGACGCAACCAAACAGCCAAACGGCGAGCGAGCATTCTTCAAGAACGTTCTCCGTAACGCCCTGATAACGGCGGCCAGAGAATAAAACAAAAGAAATACCAAAGAGAACCGAACAGAACCCAAACCAAACCACAGTCATGAGTCGAATTTGAGTTTAATCTCTCTCTCTCTCGCCCCGCTTGACGATGACGAAAGGTTCGCTGAACTCATTCTTTTGCTTTTTTTACACTGTTCCTCTCCTCGTTCATGCTGGTTTCCTGATACGGAACCCACCACCGCCCCCTGCACACAATCACACAATATTTGTGCTCTTCTGGTGTGTCCTCGTCCTGTGATCCATGACTCATCCATCGGTTATCGGTGGACAAAGTCATGATTAATATATTGTTTTTTTCCATTTTATTACAATCTGTCAGTGTGGGGAAATCGCAATCGTAAATCCAACGGTAAACAAAGAAATGTCTTCTACGAAAATGAATTATTTATTTATAAATGCGCAAAATCAAACAACTTGCAATCAATGTTTGTTTCCGCCTAATCGAACTGTCTTTTTGTTGCGATATAATCGATATTCTCTTCCGCTCGAATACCAAGAGGAGAATACTGCAACGAAAGAAGAGCGAAGAAAGCCCCGGCAAATAAACAATAGCAACATGGTTTATGCACCGTTAAATCGTGCCATATGCTGCATCTGTCTAGAAAGCTAACACTAAAGTATCAACGATAGAGAAACAGATGAGGTATCCAGAATGGAAAAGTTATTGGAAATTATATCTAACTATCCACCCTATGCACATGCACTTTTCTCGGTTATCTCAGTGCCCTTAAAGGGGGCTTCCCTCTTGCTCTCTTTTCCGCTAATTATTTTGTATTTTATTTTATTTTAATTATTTTCAACAAACATTTGACTGTTTGCAGATGGCATCCACAGCCCCAGCACTAAAGGATCTGCCCAAGGTGGCCGAGAACTTGAAGAGCCAATTGGAGGGCTTCAACACGGAGAAACTGAAGAATGCCAGCACCCAGGAGAAGATCATTTTGCCCACAGCCGAGGGTGAGTAGTTTGGCTAGTAGTTCTAGTGATCTACCAGCACCATAAAAGAAAAGAAAAAAAAAAACAAACTGAGGGCAACTCTTTTGAACAGATGTGGCTGCCGAGAAGACCCAACAATCAATCATTGAGAGCATCACTGGATTCGATCAGAACAACTTGAAGCACACCGAGACCAACGAGAAGAACCCCTTGCCCGATAAGGAAGGTGAGTGTGTCTGTCTGTCTATCTGTCTGTCTGGCCATATTCTCTGCTCTGTTTGGACACCATCTGTTGTTGGCCATAAAACGATATTGGCCCGGCCTTGCCGCTGCCATAGCGGTTGTTTCTCGTGTCTGTCTGGCTGGCTGGTTGGCTGGCTGACTGGCCAAGCCGATTGCCGTATATGGTGAATGCAACTAATGTGCGCTCTATTTCTCTGTTGTTTCTCGATTGCAGCCATTGAACAGGAGAAGGAGAAGAATCAATTCATAGCCGGCATCGAGAATTTCGATGCGAAAAAGTTGAAGCACACCGAGACCAACGAGAAGAACGTGCTGCCCACCAAGGAGGTCATCGAGGCCGAGAAGAAGGCCTAAGCCAAAATGGCAGGCGCATCCAGCATTGCCAATAAACGTTGCATCTCTCTCAAGCACATACAAAAAACACAAACAAACACACACACACATTTTCTATACGCGTATATATCTTTTTCCTTTTCCATTTGCTAAAACCATCAAAACGAACATTCAGGCTAACGTACATAAGAGTAATAGAAGGAGAACCATGCCAAGCACAGACTCTCAAGCAGCCTCAGAGTCGCCGCCATCCATCAGAAAAGCTTCACTTCACAATAACTTGAACAATTACCGGAATGGCATTGCCAGTCATTGCAACGATGCTGCTGCTGCTGCTGGTGGTGGTGGTGGTGGGGGGGGAGATACAGAGAGAGAGAGATCTTGCAACACAGATCGTGAGACTGTTGCTGTTTGTACCACACATCCTAACTAACTTATTGTCTGCCTGCTTGAAAAAGTATTTTGTTTTTTTTTTTTTTTTTAATTTTAATATACGTACATATATGTATTTTTTATGTTTTCTCTTTGCAAATTGTATTACTAACAAAGCTGCCGATGCCGCCCGCCTCGCCGTCGCCGCTGTTGCTGGCAACACACACTGTCTCATTCCTACAAAACGTATTTAACATTAAACAAACATAAAACAAAACAAAAAAAACTCCCCCTCCCCACTAAAAAATATATATTTGTGCATAATTGTTTCCAAAACACACAAAAAAAAAAGAAAGAAAAAAAACAAACCACTTACTTTACTCAAATGAAACGCAATAAGAGAAAGAAACAAAAAAAAAACAAAAAATGGAAACATATGAGAAATACTTTTTAAAAGACATGAGAAAACCACACACACGTATAAAGCGTATAAAACGAAACAACTATGTAGAATGGAAAAAACGATATAAGGAAAGCTAAAACGAAAGCAAACATTTTTTATAAAAGAGTATGTGTAATTTTTTAATGAACTTTTTTTTATATACTTTACATACGATATATTTATACTGGGAAAATTTAAAAATAAAACCATAAATGTAACATTTTATAACAAAAAAAAAAAACCGTATGCAAAATAATGTTTCCGTGCGCTCTTGTTTTTTTGCGGATCGGGCGGGGAAATAAAGCGCACAATCTGCTTGGCCCGCAATTGCTTTTATCGTGGCTCAATCGATAACTTGGTAAAACAAATTTCAAATATACATATATTGATAGGTTGCCCGCTTGAGCGAATTAAACACTTGAAATCTGTTTATAGCCTGAACAAAAATATAATGACAATTGCTGATTAGATTGGTCGTTTCTATGGAAAATGGTAATCGGAGAGACTTTCAGGCAATTTCTAAAGAATTTCAAATGTGATATGCTGTTCCGATATTCAATGAAAAATGCATCTGCAGTCGGCACACAAGAATTAATTGCAGATGTAATATGCAGATGTTCCGACGCACGAAGATTTTTTTAAATTTATTAAAATTAATACATACAAATATATATATTTATATTGAATATATATGCGCTATACAGTAATGTCTGCAAAGGGTATCCAAAAATGGAGCACATATTGTATGGGAATATATATATATGGTTTCATAGTAATTATACAAACCCCCTCCAGAGAGTGTCAGTGGGAGGCGTGGAGAGTCAAATTTAATGAATTTTCAAAGAGATTATAACTTTCATTAACTCTCCGTTGCCGGTTCGTCAGCTTCCATAGGTGTGGGTGCTGCAACTGGGGCCGCCTCACCTACCACTGCCCCATTAGCCCCATTCTCTGCACCAGAATTGGTTTCTGTGGCTTCAGCGGCAGCGGCTGCTGCTGCTGCGGCCGCCTTCTTGGCCTCCTCGTATTTGTTGACCTCAAACTTGCTGAGATCGGCGCCGAGCAGACGGAGGATGTGAATGGTCTCGTCGCGATCGACATAGGCCCGCAGGCTAGAGGTGCCGCGCCATCCAACCACGAACAGGGTGAACTGTTCGTCCACGTACTTCAGGATGCAGCTGCCCACGCCTACAGCGAAATGTCCGAAGATGAAGATTACCAAACGTCTGTCACAAAGTCTGATTATTGATTGGGCTTACCAAGCTCGCTGCATCGGTCCTGGGTAGCCTGCTTCAGTTCGTGGGTCGAGGGCGGTTTCGTGGGATCGGTGCAGTTGAGCAGCAGGACCAGATCGTCGCGATGCACCTCAATGCGACGACTGCTGCCCATGAAAGCGTTCGAGGTCTGCAGGCCCTCCTGGGCCAGCCGATATGGATGGACCGTGTGGCGGTTCTCGCAGCGGACAAAGGTCTTTACACCGGTGTTGATTATCTTGATGTTGTGCTCGTTGCCCACCACCAGCTTCCGGATGGGCTCCGAGCAGTAATAGATGTTCTTTTTCTTCGCGGTGACGCAACGGGTGAGGAGACAGCGCTTGCTGAGCGACTCGTCCAGCTGGTAGAACTCCTTGATGGCATTGTAGTCGGCATCTTCGTCGCCAAAGAACACATACGGATCCTCCTTGTAGCCATGGAGTCGTCGTCGCTTCCGCTGTGGTCCCCACGGCACGTTCTTCGCCTCGATGGGCTTGCCGGACTCGTCGAGTTGGGGCTCTTCGTCGGCGGCTTTTGCTGGCTTTTCCAGCAAGTCCTGCACATCGTTCTTCTCGAAGCTGAGCTGGCGCCGCTTCACGATGACGGCCACAAAGAAGCCGCCGGTGTCCTGCAGATGCGGCAGTATCCGCATGCACTTGTTCAGGTTAATCTTGGCCATGTCCTCGGCGGGCAGCGGGAACATGGCTGGACGGATGATGGTGTGCAGGCTCTCCGGTACCTCGTCGAAGCTTGTGTACACAGCGTCCACCTCTTTGGTGGCCAGTTTCCAGTCTGTCATGCCAGGATTGTACTTCAGACCGGGCACCAGGTGGCCGGCATCCACCAGCTCGAGCGCCCCATCGGCATCCTTGAGAATGCGCTGCAGCACGGCCTCGTTCTCAATTGGGTTGAGGGAGCAGGTGGAGTAGACCAGGCGGCCACCCACCTCGAGCATCTCGGCACCGCGACGCACAATGCGGTACTGTATCCCATGCAGGTTGTACGCCTGGGCCAGGTTCCACTTGGTCCAGATGTCGGGATTCTTGCGCAGCGTACCGTCCCCGGAGCAGGGCACATCACAGAGGATCTTGTCGAACTTGAGAACGGCCTTGGCACCGTCCTCGCTGCTCTGCAGCAGGTTCGGGAAGATGCTGCTGTCGTGGTTGGTCACCAGCAGGCAGGGCGAGTTCAGACGCTTGGCCTGGTGAACCAGCATGTAGCAGCGATTATTGTCGACATCGTTGGCCAGGACAAAGCCGGGCGGGATCTTGTGCTCCTCGGGCGAGGCGTGCAGTGCTTCGATGAGCTGGGCCGTCTTGGAGCCGGGCGCGGCACACATGTCCAGGACCTTGTCCGTGGGCTTCACGTCCAGCACAATGGGCGGGATCATAGAGACGGCCTCCTGACGACTTATACTACCGGCCGTTGTCTCCACAATGAGAAAGTTGTGCAGTCGGCAAAGCGGCTCCGAGCGTCGTATATCCTTGCGCGTGAGGTGCAGCTGATAGGCCAAGCCGTTGGGATACCAGGGCAGGCACAGGGGTCGCTCCACTTGCTCTGGCGGCTTTTGATGCAGTTCCGCAACCGCGCGCACATACTCGGTGAAGAGCTGCGTCTCAATGATGTTCAGCAGGGCCTTCGCCTCGCCCTTAAAGCCCGTCACACGAAACGTGGTTGGCAGATTGTCGCGAATGGATTCGAGGAACTGCGTCCATTCCTCCTCGGTGTGGCAAATCTTCTGCAGGTGATAGTACTTGATGAATGAGACATTGTCGCGTTTGGTCTCCTCGTAGGGCTCGGAACGCCGATCGGGGCGTTGTGGACCCTGTGAAATCACAGAAATGAGAATTAGTTTTGCACCTTTTTATTTATGGCAATGGCTGCGTTGCGTACGTTTTCGCGCTTTTGACGTTTTCGGGCCGCAAAGGGATTCTGTTTCTTTCCACGCGCCATTATCAAAAATTGTCTTCGTGCTGGTCCAAGTAAATGCAAAATAATGAACGAAAATATTTATTTTTCAGGCGCCCACAGTACCGTACCAAACAGCCGGCAGCACGTGTTGGATTGAAATCTGGCAGCACTGCACAGGTGGCATAGCGCTGGCCAGAAAGCTGCGATAGTCGCCTATCGGCGATAATAAGCTACTTATAATGTCGAAAATATATAACAAATAATTCTGCATTCTAACCTCATTATAATCATTCTTTATCATTGTAATAATACCCAGCATAAAGCAATATTTCGAGTATTGAATTGAGCATTATATCGAATGAGTTGCCACCTTTTTCACCTTTGTAGGGCAGTCATCGAAAATCATATTTCGATAAGATTGCAGACATTTTAAAAAAATGTAAAATGGAACCCTCTACATTTATAGCTACAGAAAATGGTATCGAAGATATACAATATTTAATGCACCTAGAAGCCATCAAGCGTTTCACCGACGACAACAAAAACGTTCAAGGCAATGTGGAGGAGCAGGCGCGCAACTGGCAAGACGCCAAGTGCGAGTACCAAAGCCACTACAGTCGCTTGGTCCGCATTTCCAAATGCTGCTTGCTAGCGAACGCTGCAGCCACCCAGAAAAGCGTTGCTACCGACCAGGTTGCACGTATGGCCAACGATGTGAGAACGTTGGCGTCCAAAATTTCCAGCGACAAACAAGCTACAATCCTGAACCAGAATGCCATGGAGCAGTCCACAATCAACCTGAAGACGGGCCACCGCGCGCGCTCGCTGCTTAGCAAGCAGCAGCGAAACTGTGCCGATAATCAGGAGACCCTCAAGTCGGTGCACGAATCTGTGGAACTTGTGGAGAACCGCTTGGAAGCGACTACTGTTCTGGCTCTGGACAATCTGATCAGAGAGTTGCCCCCGAGGGAATCGAGCAAGAATGTTGATTCGTCGTAAATATATTTGGAATACATGGATTCTTTGTACATTAATAAAAGCGCAACAGATTTAAGCTATAATCTACGAACTACAAGGCTTCCAGTTAGTCTCTTGCGGGGCTCGGGGCAAGCCGGCACTGGCCAGGTCAGTCCTGCGGCGGCTAGCCGGCTCAAGCGACCACGCTGTGGCTGGGTTAATAGCAATAGCAGGCGGCCATCTACAATGAATTTATAAATATATTAGCTTGGTGTAAGCGACTCGCATTGCATAGCACTAAGGCAGGAGCAGGGGGGCAGGGTGTGAGGTTACCATTTGGAGCGTTTGGACCAATCCTTGGGGGTCCAGTGCAGGCACTTGGAATCGATGCGAATTTTACGCTTCTCCATGGCGCGATGATGCTGCTCGATGGTGTCACGATTTATGCAGACAATATACTGCCCCTTATAGTAGTTGATGAGATTAAGGTTTTGCAATGTTGAGATCACGTCCTCCTTCTTGATCGAAGTGCACTCGCAAATGTCGCTGGTGAGTGGCCAAAGCAAAAAGGATGAGCAAAAGTAACAACAAGAAATAAATATATATCTATTGAGTGTAGCATACTTGATTGTTATGGTTGGCTTTTCGCCTTCAGTGCTGGGATTCTGACTAATGAATATCTCCAGTATTGTCTGCGCCCAATATGAGCGATATGAGAGCAGTCCCAGATCGGACAGTGGCTTCTCGGGCGAGCCTGTTTTGCCTTCGAACTTGGACAGCTCGTAGCTGAACTCGATGAGCAGCTTGCCATAGCCTTTGCGCTGATACGGCGGCATTGTCAATATGCAGGCCACGTTGTAGTCCTCGGTGCTCTCCTTTTCCTTGGAGAAATAGCCGACAATATGGAAGCCGCGCGAATCGAATTCAGTCATGATGTAGAACAGAAATGGATCTGTGTCGTAGTAGAGCGTCTTGTGGTCCAAGAACAGCTTGGCCAGCAAGCAGAGATTCTGTGCGTACATCTTGTTTTTGCGTCCATCGATTTCGAAGAAGGAGATGGTCTGCTTGCGGTAGATCTCGTTGCCCGGCGGATGCCGCAGATTGCATTTGGAGAGATGACGCTCCAGGCACTTGCGACTCTTGCAATACTTGAGGCAGAACTCACAGATGTAGATGCAGGGCATCTGGCAGAGCTCCTGGGGATAGGGCGAGAAGTACCACGGTTTGATGCGGTGACGCCCCAGCTCAATCATTTCCACGTTCTTCATGCGCGTGACCACATCGTCCTGGTGTGTGACCATGCTGCCCGACTGTCTGGGCGTGGGAATCTTGCCATCCTGCGACCCATCGCCATCTTCAATGGGTGCTGTGGGAATCAGACCATCACCTGTCACATGCACCGGTGTGGCCACCTGAGCGTTTGGCGTCTGTGTATGCGGCGGCGGCTGTTGGGACGGCATGTGGTGTCCATGGGTGTTGCCGTGCACCCTGCGCCTGCGATTCAAGCGCTTCTGCAGAGCAGCAGCCAGAACATTGTTGCCGTTGACCAGCTCTCCACCGCCTACGGTGCCACCTGTGGGCAAAACGGCACCGCTGACCACGCCTCCAACGGGTGCTACTCCACTGCCCGTGACACTGCCGCCAACGGTAACGCCGACGCCACCGGCACCGGCACCGGCACTGACACTGCCACTGCCAGCAGCCCCTGCGGAGCTGATTCCAATGCCCGGGTGCTGGGGCGATGTGGGACGCGACACACTCCCGGCAAGAGAGTGATGGCGCTGCGGAGTTGTTACGCCCGTGCTGGTGCCTGTCTGGGAGCCATCGCGACGCGGAAACTGCACCTTTCTGGTGTACAGGTCCTCCTCGTTGACCCATTCGTCCAGGCGCTTGTTGACTGTCAAGATCGGTTAGTTTTTGTTTCCTCTGCACGCTTCGGGAAAATTGCCAATTACTTACAGTCAACATAGTGGACATAAAACTGACGTCGCCCGTCCAGCTCCTTGATGCTAACGATCTCTGCCAGGGGCCAGTCGTCCGTCTTGTGCATACGCACCGGCAGGCGGCAGCCCTCGGTCAAAGCAGCCTGAAAAAAAAGGGGACACCCCATGAACGAAAGAGACACCAAAGGGGGCGGGGCAATGGGGGAGGGCTTACCGTCGATTCGCATATCGATGCGACGTCGTCGTCGAACTCGTATTTGTTGTTAATTTTCATTTGCCTCTGTTATTACTATACACTCGTTGTATTTGGTTTTAATTCAAGAAATATGCAAATATGCTAAAAGTAGGGTTGCCAATGAATGCAAATATACCGATATTTCACCAATGCAATTTGTCGATATATCGAGTATTGGATGTTTTGCCAGCTTAAAGAATCAATACTGACAGTAAATAGTTTTAAAGCATTAAACAATCAATATAAATGTTTGAAATGCATCTACATTCCGTTCAGGCATCCTTATATCAATAAACGCTTGCAAGGTATAATAGTCGATAGTTGCGAATGTGTGACATCACAGTATATAAATATCGATGCTGCCGACACTTGCAGTGTTGCATAAAGTTGGAAATAGTGTTGCTAACGCAACAGCATAAAAGAGTTCTTTTCTACATTTTTCATGTGCGATGAAACAAATCCTGTTGTGCATGCTACAAACAGTTGTATATTGCATTTACAATCAAATATTTGTACATTTTGACCTCTCTGCCACAATGGCAATTTGCAGTTTCAGTGTATAAGTGTCGTTTTAGTTGTAAATGTTGAAATAGAAGGTCAGAAAAATGTACACAGTTCTGTGTGGTAGCAGCAGTGCATAGATTGTAGGCATACCTGCGCTCCCAAGTGTAAGTGTGTGCGTGTGCGCATAATGTTATACAGCTGTCACCGCCTGTCGTGTGTATCAGTGAATAACAAATGTGATAAACAAAAAAGTGCATTGTAAGCATTGTTAATGCATTCATATGCCCGACCCAATCGTATATATGACAACATACATATGTATACATACTAATGGAAAAAAGGCGCATTCCTTTTCAATTGCAAAAAAAAACCTGTGTGGCAAAATGACGTGTTTTGCGCTGGTGTTGCCACTGACAACAGCAACAGGGATGCCAACTCGCGTGCGCAACAAATCGCAGGCTTTACCTATCCGCAGCGCAGCGAATAATCAAACAGATCTGATTGAATATAACGCATAAAAAAACACACAATAAATTTATCGAATCGAATCCTGCAGCCCCGGGACTGCGTCCAGTCCATTGAAATTCGCCTATAAATGCATCGCCGCTGCACTGGCAACGCCAGTTAGCATTCAGTAGCTTGACAACACTAGTTGGCTTGTATGGCAAAAAAAAAGGAATAATTTTTGTACGAATTGTGAAGTGAAGCTACCTACCAACGAAGACGAGGCCGCCTCAAATGGCAAGCAGAATAGTTTCCAAGTAATTAACGATACAAATTTTCCATCCTATTCTTTTTCTGTGTAGTGTGTTAATTCTACGCACCAGCCGTTTTGCTGTCATCCGATAAACCCAATCAAACAACAACAGCAGGAGGCATCAAATCAACCGACACTCTGCAACATTTTTGTTGCAGCACGAGTGCAATTGTCGCACATTTGGTTGCCGCATTGCTCACTTTACACACAAAACCAAATAAATGTATTGTGATGTCAATGTAGGTCTGCGAAAATAGGATAATTGGTCGTGTTTTAAAACAGTGTGTGGTTCGGCGCCACAGCGAGCGAGTGGTTCGGTTTTTTTTTTTTTTTTTTGTGTGGCTTGACAAGTGCAGAAGCAGGAGGAGTAGAATTTAATACGCAATAGGAGGGCAGCGCCCCCTAAACTATATTCTTAGTAATCGACAATAACTAACGGAAGACCACCAGCAGGAATAGCAGCGACAGCATCGTCAACTAGCAGACGCGGTGGCGTCCGCGAGGCGCCTGGCCAGCTCTGTGTGCTTCCTAGATAATACCGTGTGGTGTACGAGGAACAGCCAGAGCCACCCAACAGCAGAATACACCCAGAATACACCAACGCCGGGCAACAGTTTGTAAGTATGATACCCCCCGTATGAGTAAGGGGCAGTAACTCAATCCCCGGCCTTGACCCAGACACCAAAAACCAGACCACAGATCGCGCATGCTAACCATCATGGCATATATACCTATATTGTTTTTGCTCTTCTACAGATTCGGGGAATTTTTTGATGGCATTTGATTGTTTCGTCACCTGGTCGCCCTATTATATGCCACCTAAAAGATGAACAATGAACAAAAGCCAGCATCACCAGATACATCATCGTCATCATCATCATCATCATCATCCACAACACAACCATCCACAACCTCATTTGGAAGCGCTTCTGGTGAGCGATCTGCAGAGCGATTGGCCGCTGCGGCCAATAGTAAGATACCATCCATTATACTACATACGCCCATTGTATCAATTGCGTCTGGGACAATGAGCAAAAGCACAACCACTACAACATCGACAAAGACAACTCCAACCGCACATAGCAACGTCGATCTGTTCGAAGCAATGGCAAATAATTTAGCAAGACACGACAGCGTGCCGGTGCAACGTGACGATGGGAGTATCGGATTTCGTGGGCAGAAAAAAGCTGCATCTGCAAATGCGAAATCCACATCAAAGTCAATGGCAGATAGCGATAAGAGGAAGTCATACTCCCCCCCAATCAGTGGCAGCAGCAACAGCAACAACACCAACAACAGCAACAATAACAGTCATAACAATACCAGTGGCACTGTCAGTGGCAGTGGCAGTGGCAGCGGCAGTGATGGCTCCACCACCCCTACACCATCGTTATCAGCGTCAGCATCAGCGTCAGAGGTCCTGCCAGTCGCATCCAGTAACATAACGACTCTAGAAGAAGCAGGGGCCGCCGCCCCCTTGCCACAGGTCTACTCATTTCTTGACGATACGTCAAAGCTGGAAGGACCCACACGCAGGTGCCTGCAGTATGGGGTGGGAGCGAAGGGTAAAACCCAGGATGATCAGAATGTTGGGAAAGCGACAGAAAAATAAAAAGGTGAGTGCAGTACACTGTGAGACATGTATCCATCATCATCATCATCAGCAGCATCATCATCATGTTTATATCCTTCAATAACCCCAAAACCCACTTCGTTCCCCCCTCCATCCGCTGGTTATTTTGGTTTTTTTTGTTTTGGTATTTGGTTTCGCAACAATTGCATCCTGGAGTGGGGACGGTGCGTAAGCAGTCAGCCTCAGTGCACACTGATTGGTTTCGCACGTGTATATGTATATCATATAATAACTACGTCACGCACAATTCAGCCTTTAAATGAAATGATTAGATAAACATTCTTTAAATATCGAAATTATTACCCATTTGACTAGCTTAAACACATTTGTATATATTAATCATAGTATATGTGTAAGTTAATCACATACTAATTTTAAGCTACGTACTCACAATCCTACTGCCTCTTATTTATGATTAATTTTTATTATTTTTTATTTGTTTATTTATTTAACCCTATTTTACTCCTGCATTATTTAAATTCATTTAATCATTTTAGATCCTTTATTACACTTTTTACAAAATGTTTTTTTAGCTGCATGCCATAAACAAAATTGAATAAATGAAATATTGAATCACTATGACATGCTCTCAATAATTTCCTTGTTTTGGGGAATGTTTAATGTTTATTGTGGGGAAATATACATACTAGTAGAAAAAAACAACTCAACATTCTGATTGATCCACAAACGAATAATTAAAACATATTAACATACACACATACATTCATGTAGTATTAAACAAATTATATGCATATATTAACATGATGTGAACTCTAAAGTTTATTCTAATTTATTTGTTGTAACAAAGTTCATTGTAAAGCATTCTATTCTGTTTGTTTTTATTTTATTTTGCTAGACCATTTTTTATTTTAACCTTTTACTGTGATACCTCCAACGAAGATAATCCAAAGGCACAGCCAAAAACTAATGTTGGAAGGAGAAAACCATATCCACCCCATCCCTCCCAGACAGCAGTTTTTGTTTTGTTTTGTTTTGTACCACCTACACTGACACACACTGACACTGACACACACCCACACACACACCCGGCGGCGCTGTGCCTTAAGTGGAATTGGAAAATTAACCGTTACTAAATTGATCCGCAAGTGAAGCAAAGCAAAGATGAAGAATAAAGCATTTAAGAAAAATCTAAGTCTTAATTGAAAATAATACATATTTAGATTGGATAACAAATAATATGCCACATTCGGGACAGCATCAACATTTTGTTTTTTATGTTTGCAAAACCGTTATATTGAACGCGCGGGTTTTTAATTTTTATATTTTGCCGATAGATAGTAAAAACTAAAAGTATAAGCAGGCGAAAATGCAAACCTCAGCTAATGTTAGAGGGAGATAATATCACCGCAGGCAGAGTGCTCTTTTGGTTCCTATACATACAGACAAGTCACACGCACACACAATTGGAACATTAACCGTTATATTGGTCTGCAAGCAAAACTGGAATGATAACGAGAAGGTCGCTGCTTTGGATGCGCTTCTTTTATACCCGTACTCTCGTACTGAAATTTCATTTCATAACCGATACTCAGTCAGTACTGAAATGATTCATTTCTTAGTTCTTTAGTGTTTAGTCGTATCTTTAAATTTGTGGCTGCCACAGATTTTCGTCCTTTGTGGGATCGGGGCGAAATTTTGAAATACACTTGTAGCAGTGTGATATCACATTAGTCTGAAAACAAAATTTGGTTGCTCTAGCTCCTATAGTCTGTGAGATCAAGGCGACAAACAAGACGGACGGACGGACAGACAGACGGATGGACAGACAGACATGGCTATATAGACTTGGCTATTGATGCTGATCAAGAATATATATATTTTATTGGGTCGGAAACGTTTTGCCACAAATCTAATAAACTCTTTTTGAGTACGGGTATGGAAATAAAGAAACGAGATAACGAAATTCAATTATGAAAATGTGATACATATGTTTTAAGTTTGATTCGAAGACCCGAATTGAGTTTACATTATTTTCACTTTGCCTGCATATGCAATCCTCCTGGCTAATCGAACAAGAATCACATCTGCTAATATATTTTTACATATGCATAAACGTACATATATGCATGCGTACATTTATATAGCCACGCATGTGCATTAATATTTACATACTTATGTATGTAAATATGTATGTACATTGCCTATCCACAAAGAAGATGGGTGCAAAAAGAAGGAGCGCAATTGAGAAATGAACCGTTATAATAGTGTTGTGTTGTGCTGGCCGCAAAGAAAACGAACAATAGCGAGAAAGGGACGAATTTTAGTTTGAGAATTTGTTCTGTAGATCGCAGTCGAAGTTTTGTGTTTTGTGGCTTTGCTTTGGTTCGAATTTGATAACATTACAAACTACATAAAATTTGTGCATATTTAAGAAAACCACATCCGTGACTACGCCGCAGCACGCATACATTTGTACACATATACATTTTTTTTTTGTTATAACATTAACATTCATTCCATTTATTTGAGTCGTGTAATTGCACCATTCCGCATGTGTTTTATTTTTGTGTGTGTTATAACAATTAGATATATTGCTTGGAAAAGTGTGTTGAACAAAAGGTATACATATAAGTGTTAGAGCCGAGCTTGGCTAGCATGCGTTCGAATTGAAGTCTGCTATCTAGTGAGGTTATGCACGACGTTGGAGTGCGTGTGTGTTGCGTGAGTGTGCGGTTTCTTCTTTCTCTGTTTTGGCAATGTCGCGAAATGTTGAAAATATTATATTTTAAAGGCGCCTGACTTGATACATCTTGCAGACAAAATACGATGCCTGGGAGGATAGTGACTTCAATGATCTCGATGATGCGTCATTGAAGAAGCTACTCGAGGAGGCCTATTGGTACCGTAATCCTGGCGACAGGAAAAACAAAAGCGAGCGCTTTCTGGTGAGTAATCTCTTTACCGTGACACGCCACGTCACGTCGCCCGTCACGTTGCACACAGCTCTAATCTTGCTTCGAATCACTTTCTTTATGCAGCAAATGCTCAAAAAGGCTGAGTACGACGAAGAGATCTCTTATCGTGCCATCAAATCCTGCCTCACACTCAACCCAATCACGCTAGCGACGTCAGCGTCCACATCCGGTGCAGCCGGCATTGGCAGCAGCAGCAACAGCAGCAACAGCAACAGCAGCAACAGCAACAACAACACCCACCACACAAACAATCGATCGGGGGAGCGCCACAAGCAGGGCGGCTCCTTGCAGGATCTTGTTGAGGCGGCTCATCGAAGTGGGTCGGCCACCAGCTCTGCAGCGGCAGCAGCAGCAGCGGCGTCAGCCACATCGGCGACAACCCAACGTTTCAACTGTGATTACCAGCTGAGTGGACGCGCGAACCGTCGCCACCAGCAACAGCAACAGCAGCAGCACAACAACAACCAAAACGCACCCTCTGCCTCCAAGAAGATCAAGAACTGGTCCGCGTCGGGACGGCAGCGCGAGGGAGGAAGCCTTCCGAGTAGCGTCAACTTTGAGTCAGCCGCCACGTCCATGGATGCCAAGCTGAAACAGACCATGGCCGAGTCATCGACGACATCCTCCCAGTCACAGGCTTCAACTGGCAAGATCAGCGCCGGCAGCTGCAGCAGCCTGCCCAGCCACCTGGGCGAGACTGAGGCCGGCACCCAGTTCGATATGGACGAGGATGAGACGGGCGGTGGTGCTGCGAGTGGGAGTGCTGGCGCTGGCCCTGGCCCTGGCCACATCCAACAAGAATATCTGTTGGAGGTAAGCGATGATACACTGAATCAATGGGACGTCTGTATGGATCAAACGCTCTGGGAGATAGCTAAATCGAGCCTAATCGAAACCGATGGGCAGCTGTTTGGGTCAAGTCCATTTGAGGCGGTAAGATGCGACGCGGTAAGCCCGCCAGCCGCCCCTTCACTGGCGTGGTTTGGCCTGTAAGCGAGCAGCATAATCCAATTAGTAATCCATAACAACCTGTAGTAATCGCAATAATCAATATTCCTCCTCTATATGTCGTCTCTTGCGGACAAAGTCTCTAAATATGGAAATGTAGAATTAATCAAGTTATGTCTACCCCACACACACACAAACACACACCGCATATACACACTAACACTCAAACCATACACACACACACCCACACAAACACAACCATACGCATATTACATTCCATTTATGTATGTATTACGTATCTATGTCCTGTAGAGAGACGTTGGGTGGTGCGTACAGCGCCACCCTCTGCCAGGCATTATTTATGAATATTCTATGTATTATGATGCTACACCTACCACCCACCATAGACACATATATGTAAGCAATATGTAGTAGGACTTATAGCCAGAGAACTATACGTATATGGAGGATCTCCTGGGGCATAGATATATCGTATCATATTCACTTCACGGCGTGGGGTGGGGTAGTCGAAACATTTTCCCCCTTTGAATTTGTAATTGCTCGAATTTATCGCTCGCTCTGATAGCTCTCCAAGCCTTCAGCCAAACAATCTTTTGCACCCATAACATGGGGGTTCCCAGTTTAGGAAGCCATGAAGATGACTCCCTGTTTCCCTTCTTAGAACTATACTAATTATCGTTTTTTCTTCGTCTTTTCCTCCCTCCCCCCCTCGTCACGTCTCGTCTCGTCCATTGTGTGCGTTCAGCTTTCGGGTGACAATCGCGTAATCAAAAAGAAGAAACCAGGCGCCAATCAGTCAATGTCGTATCTCAGCACCAAAGTGCTCGATAATATCATGCAAAACTATAGCCCGCAGCAGCCCGAATCGAAGGACTCGGCCATTGGCAGTGAGTATCAAATTGGCGAGACAATGCCGTTTTTGGGGCCCGTTGGCGTTAGGCCACCCGGCACGCCCCACATACATCTACACCAGCAACACGTACAGCTGCAGCAACAATATCCGACGGGTGCGCACTTTGAACGGGGTGCAGACGATCCCACACGCAAAGTGGACGCCGGCTATGTATCGCTGAGCGACAGCTATCCGGCCTGCTCATCGGTCTATGCCGATACATCGACGGTGTCCCATGCAAACAGCAGAGCCACCACCTCTTCGGGGGATGTGTTTGGAAAGAAGGGCGGACGTGCGGGTCCGATTTCCACGGGTGCCAAGTCCACATCGGTAAGTGAACAATCATTATCCAAAGCAAAAGAACAATCACAAAAATTAAATACATTTCTCTACCATCTCCAAAGCGCAACCTTGATGAGAACGGCAACGCTCTGAGCGATGGCTATGGCACCAATAACACGCCCAGCAGCAGCAGCAACAATGGAAATGGCAACGGCGGTGGCGGCAGCAGCTCCAATCAGTTTACGGCCCTGATCACTACCACGATGGGTGCCAATGCACCAGCATCGTCCACAAACCGACAGAACAGCGTGTCCACGCTGCTCACAACCGGAAGCAACACCACCACCACGGCAATGGCGGCCGCTGCAGTGGCTGCCTCCTTCAATAGCCAGTTACAGCAGGTTACCGTTGGCAACGGCACCGCAGTCGCAGCTGGAGCTGCAGCGGGAGTGGGTGCCGGAGCAGTTGTAAGTGGCGCCAGTGCCGGCACTGGGGGACAGCCCACCAAGACCAAGTCAAAGAAGAGGTCGCAGCAGGAGCGCAACACAACCACTGTCGATGCTGAGTCGGTGGCCGGGTATCGCGGCAAGGAGTCGGTGGAGCAGCTGGTCAAGTACATTGAGAACGATGGCAACAGCGGCGGGCAGAAAAAGAAGGAGCGCAAGAAGCAGAACCAGAAGCTGAAGAAGAGCAACTCGCTGGAGGAGCTGCGCAGCTGTTCCAAAATGGAGGCGGACGACCTGAAGCGCGAGTCGGCCACCACCGAGATGATGCCCCAGAAGAAGGACGCAAACAATGGGAATGCCAGTGGCAGTGGCAAGCACAACTCTGCTTCTGTGGCGGACATAAGCAAGAACTGCAGCAAGGAGCAGCAGCAGGCCACAACTGTCCAGGTGCAAGTGCGTGGAGCAGCCGCTGCCCAGCAGCGGAAAGGCGAACGCCGCTCCTGGGGCACCGAGGAGCTACAGTATCTGGGGGATCAGGACTACCGCAAGCCCGGCTTGGGTAAGGCGGCGGCCCGCTCTGAGCCCGATATCGAGGCGGAACCGATGCCACTCTCCCTGCCAGCCCTCTCCTGCATGTCGGAAATGGATGCCCTGAACACCGTCCTCTCGGAGACAGCCGAATTCCATGTGGTGACAAAGAAGAAGAAACCAAAGAAGCAGCGAGCCGTCACCATGGACGATGCGGCCGTTGCGGCCGCTGCCCATGCGGGTGGCAATCTGCAGCGCATGCAGCAGATCACCAAATCGGCCTCCTCCAACATGATGTCGCAGCGGGCGCACTACTACACGGCGTACACCAACAGCGGCGGCAGCAGCAGCACCGGCTCCAGCAACCATCACGGCCAATATCCGAGCAAGTCGGCACAGCAGCAGCAGCCGCAGTACCAGGAGACACAGCCACAGCATCACCATCACCACCATCATCATTACCATCATCATCACCATCATGGTGGGTCGGGATCGGCCAAAAAGGACAGCTCGCGACGTAAGTCCACATCCTCGATGCCGCCCTCGGAGAAATCCGATTCTAGTGATCTCGACTCGGTCCACTCGTTGCCCATTCAGACGGTCAAGAAGAAGAGCCTCGGCTTTAGCAGCAGTGGCGGCAGCAGCAGCGGCGGCGCCGCCACCAGCAACAAGGAACGGGCAGCGCAGGCCGCCACCCAGCGTCAGGTTAAGAAAAAGACACTGACACCAGCTCCCATTTCCTATGCGGACATAGCCCGCAACAAGCGGGAGGCCCTGAAGAATGCCAGTGGCGGCATCGGCAATGGCAGCGCAAATGCCAGCGACCCAGAGCCAACGGAAGCAGTAGCTGGCGGAGCAGCGGCTGATAAGCCCACCACCGGCGGCAAGGGCAGCAAATCTAAGGTCAAACCCGATTTCCCAGAGCTGCCAGTAGCTCTATCCATACCGGTAGCCATCAGCACCGGCACCAGCACTAGCACCAGCACCAATACGGCCAGCAATCAGGTGGCCAGTAGTTCCAGCAACAATTCGTCGTCGGCGGGATCGATCAGCTACTCGAAGAGTCTGAATGCGACGCCTGCCAGCAGCACCAGCGACGTTGATGCCTCGCCAGAGCTCACACCCACATGCACGACTGCGCCCAGCAGCAGCCTGTCCTCGTCACAGCCCTCGTTGCAAAAGTCTAAGAGTGTGGAGCACGATGCCACCTATAGCTTCAACAGCAGCAACCTCGATCAGCAGTATCCAGCCCTGGAGAAGACTGTGAAGAGGCATAGCACAACCAATGTTTCCCTGACAGCTGCCGCCTGTCCATCCGCTGGCTCTGGCTCGGGCTCCGGATCGGCTGCGGGCACGGCAACGTCTTCGATTTTCAATTTTGCTGCCGCAACTAAATTACAAATGGTAGACAAATCGACGGGAACCACATCATTACAGACTACCTCAGCCAAGTCCAAGGCCAAGTCAAAGGATCTGTCATACAGCAGCGCGAGCAGCACCAGCAGCAGCTCGGGCAGTAGCTCGGGCAGCAGCAGCAAGAAGTCCATGAAGCTTGGTCACGATGAGGCGGCGACAGTGCCCGTTCCCGTGCCAGCGCCAGTGCCAGCGCCAGTGCCAGTTGCCCAGAAGTCTACGACAGCCACCCAGACCGAGGGGACCAAGAAGATGGGACACAAGATGTCCCATAGCAGCAGCAAGCTGACACCTGAGATTATTGCTGGTCGGCCGGCGGTGATAATACTCAACGATGACCGCGACTCGGGAGAGGAGGGACTCAACAACGAGTTCATCTTTGGCGATTTCAACGAGGATGAGCTGAAGCTCTTCGACGACAAAAAAGAGGAGAAGGAAAAGGAGGAGAAAGAAATTAAAAAAGAGAAACAAAAGGAGAATGAGAAGAGTGAGAAGAAGGTGCAACCGAAACCAGAGTCACAGTCGAAGCCACAGGCAGAGCCAAAGCCGAAGGTACAGCCCACAAAGTCACAGGCAGAGCCACAGCCACAGCCAAAGCCACAGGCAGAGCCACAGCCACGGCCAAAGCTGCAGGCAGAGCCACAGCCAAAGCCAAAGCCACTAGCCACACAGATGGACAAGCAAGAGCCAATAGATATAGACCCGGAGGACGATGACGATCAGATTCCAGAAGCAGAACCAGAACAAATTGGAGAGGACAAAGCCGAGAAGAAGGAGGCAGAAAATACCACAGCCACACAGTCGGATGTGAGCTCCAGTAGCTATCAGCAGCTGATACTGAATGACTCGGGCGCCGCCTCCGATGTGGTCAACAGTTCGGCCAGTTTGGACATGCTATCGATCTCAGGCGAGGCCGTGCAGTCGTCGTCGCCAAACTCTGCGGCCATTTCCACAAACTCGGGCTCATCCAGCCTAATCAATTCGTCAACATCCTCAACACCTTCGTCCGATTCGGCACCAAAATTCCAACTCGTCGTCATCTGTTTCGATATCGTCGTCCTCTGGTGGCAACGCTCCCTTGGGCGGCTTGTGCTCCGGACACGGTTCGGGTGCGGCCTATGTGGCGAACCAGTCCAGCGATAGTGGCATCTATGGTGCCGCCAACACGTCCGTAAAGGACCACATCAACCAGTTCCTTAGCCGGGCCAGCAGCAGTAGTGATGAGCCGCTGCCGAATGTCCCCATCTCCATGCAACAGTTGGAAACCTGCAATGACATTGAGGCGGCCATCATAGCTGCTGCCCGGGCCGCGGCCGCCGCACGCAGCAACAACTGCAGCCGCAGAAATTCCCAGGAACTGGAGCCGCCACAGTCACAGTCCCTGTCCAAGTCGCAGCAGCATCAGAGCCCAGTGGCCAAATCGAAAATTGTGCCCGTGTATACGACCTACAATGTTGGCGTACAGGACTATGACGAGGACTTGGAGGAGCTGAGCTTCCTGGCCGACCTCCGAGATGCGGAGGTAGACGTCGAGCAGGAGGCGGAAGTGAAAGCGGAGGCCGAGGCCGAAGCTGTTGCGTCGTCGCCAGCGCAAACGGATCCAATCGTAGACTACATTTCAAGCAGTGAGTACTCCGAGTCCTTTCGACATCAGAACATACATATACCAGAGGGCTGTGCATAAAGTTCATTATTATAAATGTATTCTTGGATCAGTCTGCTGTAGTTTTGTCTGCTTATTCAAACTCTTTTTTGTCCATCATCAAATGCCAATAATTTCCCCTTTTTAATCCATTTTGTTTCGATCTGCAGCGTGGCAGGCCATTTCCACCAGTAAACATGTAATGTTTTACCGCGAGCCCGAACAGGAGATCTAGGGAGTAAATCAAAAGGAATCTAGGAGCAGCAGTAACCCGCAGTCGCCATATCCGGCGGCAGTAAGCGGGGGGAGATCACAACCAGAACCAGAACCACAGAAATGAAGAGGATTAGTTTGTATTTGCATGTCTGTCAAAGTTGCATTTTTGTTTGCTTCGTGCGTGCTGGGCCATCCATCCATCAATTGTACACAGATATACGGATATTATGCGGATATGCTATAACCACACGCTTTTGTGCTAACTAATGTAACAAACTATTGATTAACTATCGATTAGAATATAAAAAACCGCGAGCGGCAGAAAGTAAAAACCACCCAAAAGGCAATAAACAAGAAAAGTGTGAAAAAAACATCGAAGGAATAAGAAACTGAGAGTGCAAAAAAAACCTCCATTAGGAATGGAGAAAATCCAAGGAAGGCAAGGCAAGGCTATAAAGAGGAATAACGAGTAAATAGATACCGGCAATGACAAAGAAAAATAATAAGAGAAAGTTTATCATTAAGATGACCAACTAACAGAAAACAAAACAAAAAATAAATTATAAAAAGATGGCCATGATAATTTAGTAGATGAAGATTATGATGAATAAGTTGTCAGTGAAGAAAGAACGTGGGGATGACACACAAGACGTTGGACCATGATAAATGTGTAGACGAAACGAGGACAAAGATGATTTTGTTAGACAAACAAAATAAGATGAGAAAAAAAGAAAAAGAAAAAAACTGACTCACAATCCGTTTGTACCGCTGTGAATAGAACAAAACAAAAAATGAAATGAAATGAAAAGAATCCCCAAAAGAAATCTTTGAACCTTAAAATAGGCCAAGACGGTGACGAAAAATATGAATATTTATTAAACTATTTAGTTTGGGAAAACCGGTGATTCGGTGAGCGATGCGATGCGATGGATAGGAGGGATAGCAGCGATGTTCAGTCAGCATTTGGAACTGCTTTTGTTAATTTACAAATTTCTGGCTCCTTAAAACGCTATGTTTTACTATAACTATTACAATTACGAACTCTAATTTTTAACTAAACATTATTATTATTATTATTATTACTACTGTTACGGAACCAAACATTTTTTTTCTTTTTTTTTGTTTTTTGTTCTTTTGTGTTTCTCTGCTTTATATGCGCACGCCTGTAGCTTATAAAAGTATATTTTATCATTACTTCGAGTTAGATTGAGCAAACTAGTTATAGACAGAGTCAAACTACAAGAAAGGGAAGGGAAGGGAAGTAGAGAAACCGATTGAACCATAGCATATAGTCGCGTGTACATAGGATACAAAAACCACAGCATAACAGCAAACAAACTAAAAAAAAACAAAACTAAGAACTTGAATAATTTTTGCGTTTAATTGTTGAAAAGAAAATCGCAAAAAGAAAAACCGAAAACAAGAGAGCACACAGCAACTGATATGTGTGCTTGAATAATGAATATGAATATCTAGTGTTAAGATCTATACGGCTAGCCATAAAGAAGCCGCATGAGGGGAGGAAAATGTATTGTTAAAATCCACAAAATACACACAAAACAAAAAACAAAACAAACTATCGAGCACCTACGAAAATTGCCGCCGTTTAGCAGCGAGAGAGCGCCTCAGCAGGCCTTTCCGAGAGTAAAATTTAAAACAGGAAATAGAACCAGTAAACCGGAAACCGGATGAAAGCTACAAAAGAAATAAAAAACAAAGCGAGGAATAAATTTATATAATAAAAAACAGTAGCATTAAAATCGCACCTATATAGAAATATATGCATCGTATACACACACACACACATGATACATAGGAATACGATGAAGAGGTTTTTTTTTTTAGGAATGCCAGGCGTTAACCATTTAAACTCGATTAAGATATTTAAGATATACCGTTAAAGAAAACCAAAAAAGAAAATTTGTTTAACGCAACAAACAAAAAAAAATAATTCAAAATATAACAAAAAAATCCGCGGAACTATTTAAAGTTAATCCCAAAAAAAATACACACATATGAAAGGCGAATTAATAAGGTAAAAAGTATAAATGTTAAAACTTTGGAAACACTTTGGGCTGTATTACGGAAAAGAGAGAGATGGAGAGAGCAAGAGTGAGAGAGAGAGAGAGAGAGCGAGGAAGACAGACAGACAGTGCTTTGTTCTGCTTAGTAAGCGATAGCCGGTCTCTTCCTCACTCACTCTGGATACCTTCCTCCCTTCCATCGATCTAGACAAAAGTAAAGGAACGTTTAGAAAAGAAAATTTAATTTTTATCAAGTTGCAGGGAGGATTACTAAGTATATATATCTCAAGTAGTATACATATATTAAAGAATATAAATATGTATTTCCACACATAAGGAAATTTTCTAAAAATAAAAAAAAAAAAAAAAATGATATGCAACCACTAAGTCAAACTAAGCCAATGTACACTGCATCAATTTTAAGAAACAAAAAAATGATAACTATTTAGCGACAACAGAGAGAGATAGAGAGAGAAAGAGAGATCGAAAAAACCCACAAAAATCATTAACAGAAAAAGAATACAACTAAACAAAAAAAAAAATCACAAAAGATAAATCAAAATATTAAAAAAAAAAACAAATTGAAATTATATGAAAGGTAACAACTAAAATTAACTCTGAAATTTAAATTCTATTACATTTATATATGTATAAATATACATACGTATGTTACACAGGCCATTCGGACAAAATCAAACTTTACGTTTGCTGCAGGTCCACACTAAAATGTTTTATGTCCAGAACATAATCTTCTCTAAGATCTGCTGCATCAACAAAGTTATACCTATAACTTTAGCTGTAGTAAAAATGTAGTAGATCTTAAAAAAGTATATATTAACTTGTAGACCTGCAGCAAAGTTGGCCTGTGTTATAAACATATATTTATAGGTATATATATAAATTATAAACGGAAAAAAAAATACAAATCAATGTTTCTTATGTGTGTATTTATGTAACATATATGGTATAATATATTGTAGTTGCGTGTATGTGTATATAATATAGTAAAAATGTTAGCTCTCCACCATCTAACATGCAAGAAAAACAGGGAGAGGATACAGTCCCCTTGGCAGTGATTCGCCTCTCAGTGCCCACGCCCCTAAATCCCATCCAAAAAAAAAACAAAAAACAAAAAAAGCCAATGGCGCTTTGTAATTAATTATTTATTTTCTATATATTTGAGCGCAAATTCGTGTAGAATTTGTGGCTGCGCCAGAGCTTTTTGGAGTCTGAAAGCCAACAGACCCAGAACAACAATTTCTCTTCATTTCTTGCTTTTTTTTATTGAGCGTAGTTAGCATATTTAACCAGTTGACACTACCATATAGCCGGCCTCGGAAATGATTCGCACATCCTTTATAGAAGAGTTTAATGGTCCATCATATGACTTGATATGTAGTTATCTTACGCAAGATATACATACATACATATATTGGCTTTATAAGACTACAAAATTATGTGCCGCATTTTATAATATTTTACCCAAAGAAATATCACGAATATCACGAGTTGCACATCATTGAGCAGCCAGTTAAGTTTTCAGCAGCTAAATTAAAAAAACTTTTAAACATTTTTTTGTAAATAAACAAAAATTGCAACTTAAGAAACAAATTCCCCATTTTCAAAAATCTTCAAAAATTGTTTAATGGGTCAATTCTTTAACCAAACTTTTATATAAAGTCAGCAGAAAATAATCTACGTAGGAAATTAAGCAAAATTCGAATTCCTTTTAAAAAATCCAAATACGAATTTCGATCAATTTTTTGTTTAAACAAAATCTCTGTATATACTGAGGAGAATATATTTTGCGTGAGATAGCTAAATGTCTTGTGATCGAAGAGAGGATTTGCCCAGGCCAGGCTCTGAAGGTTTAATGCACGATAATTTTTGGGGTCGTCCGGTTGGCAGTTGGTGTTTTGTAGAGTTCGAATTGCATAATTTTCGTATGGTTTGCACTTGTTGATTTGCCGATAAGCAGCAGTAACAATAATTAAATGGAGAGCGAAAATAAATGGAAAACTATAACCATAAACATATGACTAAGTCTATTGAATAGCTAAACAAAGAATTCTATAAACACCTAGTTGATAGTGTTAGTACCCATACGAATAGATGGATCGTATGTATACCCCCATACCCCAAGAAAGATGATGCCGACGATGATAATGACAACAACGCCTACAAGCGCTGTCAATGGGGCTGGCATTGAAACTAAACTCTAAATTTATACAAACGTATACATACTTCTATATATATACATACGCATACAAAGAAACATATGTACTCAACTACTTCTACTGAGAAAAAGCCGACTAAAACTACAAAATCCTAATTCCCAGGCATGCCCCCAGACCCCAGACCCCCCCCCCTGCCACCACATCCCTTAACTCGGTGAAGAGCAGCCCCTGTCCACCCAACCAACTATACTTAACTTATACATACCAATATTTGTACATGCAACAGAAAAAGAAAAAAGAAGAGTATAAAGGAAAAGAAAAGAGAAAAGAAAAAGCGAAAGGTATTTAGAATTTAATAAAATTACAGTCAGGCGGGAACCGCGCCGATTACCGTCCGATTGTCGATTAAGCAGCGGATCGGATCGGATCGATCCTGATCCGCTGATGGTCCGGGCGATATTCTATCAAGCTATCGCTGCGGCCAATCGAACAGGGGACGGCAGTCGATGGCCTGTCCACACCCCCAACCCCAGGGGCCTAACTAAACCAGAAAAACTGAAACAAAAAATTATCTGAATGGGAAATACAAATCTAATTTAATATGTGTTTAAAAAATAATTAGCTGGAGTGAAGAAACGAAATAAAAATGCAAAAAAAAAAACAATGTATCTTCTATAATTACTTTCATGTATCATTTTATTTTATCCCACAGCTTTGGAGCGCTATATGTGAGGGGTGTCCCATCACCAACTTGTTACTTAGTTGTAGTCTTGGCTGTTCCATACAGCTATAGCTCCGGGTATCGTTTCCGTATCACCTGGCTTAGATTGTTTCCAAGAGCCAAGAAAACCCAATGTGAGATGCCCGCTGTATCAATTCTTAAACCGTTTTGAGTTTGTTTAGGTATGTTTTTGGCAATTCCCAACTGGCTGCGTGTGGCCATTGTTGGCCCTCGAATTCGCTTTCTGTTAAGGCTGGGCATCACCCCCACCCGGGAAAAATCCTGCCAAAGAAGAGCTTTTTGGTCCCTCACTGCATGGCATCTTGGAATGGTATAGTCTCTGATATGATACATAAATATGTACCAGAGCCCTGCATAAAATCTCAGCCATACTCAAGTCTCTTTGATGCTTTCTGCCGATTTCGTTAACAGTCACTGAAATTACTCAAAAAAACATGTGCCCTCGGCTAAGCACATTCCCTGCCGCTGTATCTTGAATGGGCTGATATTTATAGCGTCTGCTTCCCATACTTATTTACTTCTATACGTTGACCCAACAGCGTACACACATTTACGGTCAGCAACTATTACCCAGAGATTGGTTTTCAAGGTGGAGATTTATTGGACGTATGTAAGTACACGGGAACTACAGCTACTGGCCTCCTGTGGCCACACGCTAGGCGCGGGGGAAACTCGACTGGGTCCCTGGCAGCTGGACAGACTGCGAGGCCACCGCACAAGCGGCCGCAATGTGTGCATCGAGGGCTCGCTCTGGGAAGCGGGCCAGGTTGTGGGCCAGCGCACCGATGAAGGCGTCTCCCGCCCCCGTAGTGTCCACCACATTCTGGACCTGGGGAGCGGGCACATGCTGGAACTTGCCGGTCGAGTCCTTGGCTCCCCACACAGCTCCCAGTGGGCCCAGTGTGAGAATCACCGTGTTGGCACCCATCTCAATGAGCCGCTTGCAGGCGGCGTTGGCTTGCCTGCAATGGAGAATCTTTTGGTTGGGACACAGAAGGATGCTAAGCCAGTGCTTACTCTATGCTGCTCACGCTGGACACTCCCGTCATAATGGCCGCCTCGCTCTCGTTCACGCAGAAGATGTTGGCCAGCTGCAGCAGCTCTGGCGGCGTCTGTTCCATGGCCGGAGCGGCGTTCACAATGGATATACCCTTGAAGCAGCGCAGGGCCTGGAGCGTGGCTGCGACGGGCGTCTCCAGCTGGCACACGAGTACTTTGGCCCCGCTAAACAGCGCCTTGGCGATGAAGACGTCGTCGGGACTCAGCTGGTTATTGGCACCCACAACAATGATGATGTTGTTCTCGCCACCGTCGGAGACGGCGATCTGGGCAATGCCTGTGGTGTGGCCCGTCAGCTGATGCACGTGGCTGACATTGACGTTCTCCTCCCGCAGCTGGCGGAGGTAGTCGCTGCCAAAGCTATCGTCGCCCAGTTTGGCCACCAAGGCCGTGCTGGAGCCCAGCCTGGCGGCTGCCACACACTGATTGGCGCCCTTGCCGCCGTAGCCGGTCTGGAATTTGTGTCCGTGAAGCGTCTCCCCGGCCTTGGGCAGGCGGGGCGTGTAGCTGTCAAAATAAAACTTAAAGATGCTGAACAGCTGATCATCAGATTGATGGATGGCGGCGACCTACCAGATAAAATCTATAATGGCCGAACCGAAGACCAGAACGTCAGTTTCCTCACTCATTTTCCAGCTGCCTTCCGTTCCGTGTTGTGTTTTTTTGCAAACTGCAGCGAGGCGCTGATTTATAACTAAACGATTGAATTTACGATCCCAGTGTACTATGCTTATCGGGCGCAACAGGGGCCTTATCAGTAACTTGGCCAATTCCATTCACGGTCGACGGAACGGAGAGAGGCGGCTGGGAGTATTTGAGAAAGGCAGAGAAATTCATTTAAATGGCCCATTCTCTTAATATTTTTTTCTTGCTTTTGGTTTTGTTTTGGTGGGCAAGAGAACGACCAAGATACCGGAAATACCAGACGTGGTATTTTTGTGATCACTTTTTCACAACACAAATAATTAATGTTAATTGTCACGCGTTTCTGCTGCTCAAAGAAATGATTTATTGTAAACTGCAGCTTTCTTCTAGCCAATAAACTCTTTATAATCTCCGTAAACTAAACTAGACTTGGCATACCAATATATTCTGGCTGAAGTCCGCTAAAACGTACTAGCGCATGGCGGCATCACCATGTAGCTGTCGGCAGAAATTTAAATAATAATTGCTGCTAAAAATATCAATGAAAACGTTTAAACTAGTCCATGGGCACAACTGATGGTTGTAAAATATCGGCAGGCAAAGCCAAGACGATGTCATTGTGTCTTTCAGGGTGTATTCTCGCGTTTTCAGATAAATCATAAACTTTTATTAAATATACATACATTGGGGTAGTACAGATAAACAGAACTAGAACTGTTGGCAGGATAGGCGACCAGACGTAACCTAGGGGAATACATGCGATTTCATTTCGATTGGGGCTTTTTGGTTTGGGGTTGGCTTGAGCTTGAGTTTAACTGCGGACACTCATAACACATGGGCGTTCTGTTTCTAAAATTACAATTACAATTATAAATATAAAGCCATACATTTTGATTGGGCCCTAACGATTTACAAGTACATATATATGTGTGTATAAAATCTACAACTAGATTATTATACGTTTCACTAGCGAGCGAATAATCTTCGGCTCTGATTTTGATCTCCAGTATTCTGTGAGGGGTTGCCTTGCTTAGATCCTATAAATTGCGACTTGTGGAACCCCTCCATTGGTTGGAGTTGGGTGCGAGATAACATTTAGTACAGTACATTTTGGAGACGGGTGATTGGCGTGTCATCATCGTTATTGTAGGCATCAATCATTATCATCATCAATCATTTAGGGCTGCTAAATTCCGGCACGCTCCAGGGCGCTCAGCTGTGTCCCCAATCGCTCTTCCTTGGCCTTGCGCTCCGAACTGATCTTCTTGGAGCTCTGATAGGTGTTGAGGAAGGTCTGCACATCGATCTTGCCATTGAGAAAGTGCTCCACATGACGATCGCAATCGGCGTCGGAATTCGAGGCAGCAATTTGCAGTAATTCCTTTGGGGGGTAAGACGAGGACCGTGATTGGTGATGGGATGGGAAAAGACTACTCGAAAAATATTCGACTAACCCGTATGTGCTGGGGGGCATATTCCTCCGACTTCTTCAAGTACTTCTTGTTTAGTTCGTCGCACTTCTCGCCCAGCGTTTTCAGGGCAGTGTAGTCATCGCTGAGGCGGCGTTTCAGATCCACCAGATGGCTGCCCTTGCTCTCATTTTCACCTGGTTTGATGCAAATGATTAGGTTTGTTTTGCCCGATTGGATGGATTGATTAACGTCATTGCATACGTGAGATATTCTCCACTTGATTCATCATCGAGTCCAGCTCCTCGTTTAGATGCTGCACCACAGACATCTCCTCGATGAAATCGTCGAAGAACTCCGGATCCCTGTCCAGCTGCTTCAGCTCGTCCAGCGACAGTGTGGATAGGTTCGGCATATTGCCCTCCTCCTCCTCTGGCACCAGTCCGCCACCAGCAGCAATGCGCCTGTTATCCTGCAGCTGTGCCTGCGGCGACACCGCCTGCTTCGACGAATTGCGTGTGGTGGGCATACCGAAGTGACCCGTTGCTCCTAGCTCTTGAAGTGGACAATATTCCAATCGGTTTCTAGCATTTGATACCCACGCGCTAAGTCTCCTTTGAGTTAGTTGGTGGCGTCGAGGGCCTGTATAAATGACGTTGTAATTAATTAAATTCTTGGCGGTTCTGTTCTGCCTTCTACTCACCAAATGGCGTTTGAGTCCTTGTGTTTGGGTTGCGGCGATGCGTTCGGTTTTCAGCAGAGTGTTTGACTTTCTAGAACCCAAAGCGCATAAATCGAGTGTTTGCTTTGTTTGTTCAGGTCTGAATAACATTATCTTTTATAACAAAAACAACATTCGCACCGTTGACACGGCTGACAGCTAAGGGTTGCCACCTTGCCCGCAAGAGCCGGGCTGGGATTGGTATCCAAAATGAATTGTTGGCTATCACAGCTGCAAAGACACAAATTTGTGACCATGGAATCGTTTTCAGTTGGAGCCCACCAAGTGCAACGAACTGCAGCACACGGGCTGGATGTGCTTTCTGTGAGGAGGCCTGCATACCCTGCTCTCATCGAACAGCTGATCGGACACCATTTGTTTACGATTTGTGCAACGGCGGCATCGCAACGCGCTTTACATAACTGTTGTTTCTATTAAATACAAAACTATGGCGCTCTTCGAGATGAAATGGCTTCGCCGCATGGTGCGGCGGAACACAAGCCCCATACCGGAGCACCGCGCCGAAATGTGGAAGCGACGCCTCAGCATTGGCTATGCGATTCTGGCCTGGCACGCCTTCGGCCTGGTCTGCTACATGGTCTACACCGGGCGCAACGACTGGGCTAAATACTATGGCTACAAGACGGAGGAGGAAATGGCCCTGTCGCCGGCCCAACAGTTCGCCAAGCACCTCAAAGTGGAGGGAACTGGCAAAATCATACGCTACTCGGGCTTCAAGAAGGTAGAGGAGATACCATTCGACTCCAGCACTGTGGAAAAAGTAAAGGAGTAAAGCAGACATTTAGATTATAGTTAATATCATTTTTTTTTGTCCTAACAATTGATTGCAATCAAAGAAAGTATATAAACAAAAGCAAGGTCTGGTATTTATTGTGGCATTTTCTGCTGGTTGAAAGTGGGTATTGAAATATACACACACGAATATTGTAAAACTTGAAACATTTTAGCGCAGTTCATGTGAAAGATATCGTGTTTTAGGTGAAGATAAAGAGAATGGATGTATCTAACAGAAGAATACAATACACAAACATTATTTTCAACAGTTTATCTCAATGTGTTCTACTTTTTAAATTTAGCGGCGCTAACTTCCTTTTATTCCTCGGTAGATTTTGAAAATTAAAGGTATATTTCGGCATATTTCTGGGGGTCAGGCGGTCTTTTTGATCGATAAATCTACGGTCACACTGCAATAAGCGTACTATTAGCAGTGTTGCCAACTTTTCATCAGGAAAAAACCGTTTCTAACTTATATATATATATTATATATGTAAACCTCACACCACAACGTGTCACTTGAAATTAGTTTCTCTTAGTTTTGATGTAAAAAAAAGCGGAAAAAAGCCAAACTCATATCAAAAAAATCCAGAATTTCCGTTTCCCGCAAATCCCAAATTTTTACCGCAGCTGGTTTTCAAAAACAGCCAGTTTTGACGGGAAAAAAGTGGAATCGGCAGCACTGACTATAAGCAACTTTGATAATGCCCGTGAGCCTTCGGCTTGTGAAGAAGTGATTGCATTGCGGCCTGACAAACTGGCAATCTTTCGAGACGGTGCGTGCGTGCGGTTGCAGTTAATTCAGCTATATCTAAAAATAAAACAACAAATCAGCAGCACCAGAGCAACGGCAGAACAACAACAACAACAGTCGCGGCAGCATCCAACAGACAGCACACATACAAATGTACAACTTCAAACGTATTTTTAATTGTAACAAAAAAATAAATGAATATTAATTGACTATCAGGCAAGCAATGCACTCTTGTCGGAGGTCATCAGCAATGACTGCACTGCTGCTCCGTTTGTCTCTGTGTCTGTGAAATAACGGGACTAGCAGCAGCAGCAGCGGCGGCGGCGGCTGCATTAGAAAAGCAACAGCAAATGGCATTTGCAGACAGCGGTTCCACTGCTTTCCTCCCTCACCCCCCCCTAATTGGAATTTGTGGAAATATAAAAGAAATGTTAAGAGCCGCAAATAATTGCTAATTAGCTGCATTTCTTCATTGTTGTTAGAGGTGCCGCTGCTGCAGCCACAACTGCTACAAGGCTTCGCTAACGAATTTCTAATATAATTAACGCCGACCGAGAAGCCCGCCTCTGCTGCTGCTACTGCCACTGCCACTGCTGTTTCTGTTTCTGTTGCAGCTGTTCTGTTTCTTAAAGAAACGTTTGAAATGTGTGTGCGTGTGTTACCGTTTTGTTGCAACGAAATGCAAAAATGTGTCTATGATCGAAACTCATATACAAACAAATATATATATAAAGTGTTCTCTCCCTCCTGTTTCTGTCATTTCGCAGTGGCCGAGCAACGGTTTAGCTTGAACCAAGCCACCCACCCCCTCCATCTACAACCGACCCCCAAAAAGTCAAAGGTGCAAGTGCTTCTCTCACACACATAAACGCACACGGAAAGAGCGGCTTAGCAGAGACAGCAACCAAAAGCTGTTCGGAATACCGTTTGATTGATTATTATTATTGCTGCTGTTATTCTCTTCTCTCATCCTCCTCCACCAGAGCGGACTGCACCAGCACATTTCCCTGAGGTGGCGACGGGTGAGTGTGAAAAACTACAAAAATAGACTAAGAAAATGATGTTCCAGTTTGTGTGTTTTGTTGCTGCTGTCTGTTTGAAAAGAAAAACGATTAAAATCGCATTATTTCTATAATTTTTGAAAGTGAAACTTCCACTTTCGGCCGCTTCTAAGCCGAAAGTAACATCCGTAGCAAAACGTAAACCATCCAACATCAAAGAAAACCCAAAAATTCCAAATAAAGAAGAAAACGCGCATAAATGTTTATGTATAAAAATAAGATGATGACAAAAAAAAAAAAAAACACAACTTTTAGAAATGGTCGACGGCATGTCAACAAACAACAATGGCTATAACTCTAACAATAACCGAAAAAAAAGTTAATTTATATTTCGACGAGCGAAAATGAAACCGTTTTCTAAAAATAATTTATTGTTATACACTTGAGAAGCGAAAGGAAACAGATTTCGGGGCAGTTTCTATGCATACAAAAAGCAAAAACCAAAGCTCGGGCTAGCATTAAAGAAATTATACAATAAACCAGAAAGAAAGACTAGATTCCGGCACCCAAAGATTTGTATACCCTCGCAGATCTATATTTCCCATGGTTCTATACGACAGAAAACTTTAAGACGAATGGGAAATCAAAAATAGTTGATTTTGGTTGGAATTATCATAAAGAGAAAATTTTTGTTCTCGTAAACGTAAACAATAGTTTCTATGGCAGCCCTATGCTTTAGGGATCTGATTTTGGTCGGCTCCTGTTGATCCTGATTCTAGTGAAAACCGTAAAACACTCCTTTCAAGGGTATTACAAGAGCCGGCCAGCATATGGTGGTGGGGCCCGGCCCGGTGAACAATGCGAGATGGAACATAGGCACACGCACTGTGGGAAAGAGGGAGAGCAGCGCGGCGCGGCGCATATTTCGAGCGGTAAAACGGTTCGCGTCAGCTGCGGCGCATGACGCATGGCGCGACAGCACTCCGGTGCGCTACAGTTTTCTCTCTTTCGGCATAGGCGGCGAGATGCATTGTATTAACAGGTGCACTCTCTCCTCTCTCTCTCTCTCTGCCTGTGTTAAGCGACGACGATTTATATGCCATTCCAAGGCTAATAGAGCATTTAGCTGTTTGTAATTTTAAGCAATCAACCGAACCTATGTATCTGTTTGTTCTCTATATGAGGTCCCATTAATTGGCTGATTATCTTCTAATGCATCCATTGCTCCATTGCTCGTTTGCTTCTTCATATTTACCGATATTCTTTGCTCGGTTTGCTGGCATCCGATATGCCGCTTTGCTTGGGCTGTAGAGAGCATTGGTTTGGCGCGCCAAAGCGTAACCGTTCGTTCATAAAGAAACAAAATTCACAGAGCAATACACCTCGCCGCACCGTACTTTACCTAGCCCCACACCACCCCACCCCACCCCACACCACACCACTCCACTACACCGCACACGCACACAAGTGAATGGCCCGAGGGGGCCGGTCTGCCTCCCTGGCTCTTCCCTATAACTACCCGCCCACCCCGCTCGCGCTCTCGCTCACGCTAGGCCAGTGGCCGGCACTTCTGGTTATGGCTAATGCTGAATAACTTTTAATGCGAGTACCCAACCGTACTCTCTCTATCTCTCTCTCTCTCTACAAGAGAGTATTTAAATTTTAATCACAGATTTGATAGTTTGTAATGCTCAGAGATCTAGCTGAAGTAAAACCCTGTCTGTTTTCCCTGCACAACATTTTGAGATCTTGAGATCGAGACGAGCTGTAAGATATTTTTGAACGAATGGATAGAGTATACGAGTGTCGGGCGCCTCTGTGCTTGGATTATATGCATTTTTTTGAATATGTCATGCTCGCTGGCCAGGGATCCACAGAGGTGGTGGGCCCCAAGCAGAGCGTAATGCGATACCGGAGCCTGGCCAGGGGGCTAGCCTGATGGTCAGCTTCTGCGGTTATCAGAGGTGCACACACACACACACACACACACATAGTTTGTGGGTGACAAGGGAGCGGGGGAGCAGCTGCAACGATAAGTGATGTTTTGGTATGATGGTCATAGACCCCATCGACAGCGCCCCACCCTCCCGTACCGACGACCACACCGAAAACAATGAAAAATCATAAAAGAGAAACAAAAAGAGAAATGCAGAAAACCGCAAATAAACCGAACGACGCGCTTTGGTGGCTTTTGCGGTTTTTCTTCTCTCTTAAGTTTTTGTTTTGTTCTTTTTTTTGATAAGCTCCCAAGAAGAGGAGGAATTAGAAAAGAAGATAAAACAAGCAGAGAATATTAAAAAAAAGAGCGCAAAGAAGAAGGAAGCAAAAACACACGCATATCGGCGAGAAATCCCACAAAGAATGTGTAGAGAGATGGGGGGAAAACTAACAAGAGAATTAAATGTTGTCCATTGATACAAGTCGAAGATTTAAATACCCTTCGTATATTTCATTAAAAGCGGTTTCGGCCTTTGATATAATCTTGAACTGCAATGCGATGGAGGAAAAAGCACTGACAGGTTTCTAGTTGGGATCACCAAACTCTCATCCCCGTTCAACCAAACAAAAATAAGCAGAATATACTAGAAATACATCCAATCATAAATTTTTCTGGTTTATTAATGCCCGAGGAGGGTCAACAGCGTTGATTGAGTGTAGATGCGTGAATTTGTTGAAACATTTAGTTGGTCGAACATATGATTTCAAATTTGAAACCTGGCGCCTCTTCAGTGTTGGGCAACGCGTCACGCATGCGCCGTGCGAGGCGCCCTCTATCGCCGTACAGCTCACGATAAAGTATCTATCCAAATGCGTTAGGTTATTTTCACAATATGATAAAAAATAGTATCGTATGGATCCATAATTTCTACCTGTATCAAATTCTGGTTGTAGCAAAACCTCAGAAACACTTAAATATGGTTGGATAGGGCAATTGAATGGCTTAGACACAAACATTTCATGTATATTGTTCGAAGATATTAGGTTGAAACTGCTATCGATAGTCATATCGATTGTTTCCCAGCACTGATGGACACTTGTTGTTGTTGTTTGAAGAAAAAACAGAAACCGAAAACGCGCGTCGCTTTGTTGTCAGTAGTGTAGTTCTATTTTTTTGTCGTTCATTTCTCGTTCGTTTCTTTCTTGCTGCGCCTTCGCCTTGTTGTTCTTTTTTTTCATTTTTGTTTTATTTTATTTCATTATGTGGATGCCATAGTTAATAATTTGTAACTATTATTCCGCTCGGGTATGTGCGTACGTGCGTGTATACGAGCCGTATGTGTGTGTGTTTCACTTGTGCTGGTGTGTGTGTTGGTGCGAAGAGTTGACTTTTTTGTTTTGCTGGCGTATTCCGGTTTATTTTCTTTGCGCTAGCGGGAAAGAGTGCGAAAATAAAGAAAAGATACCCTTTTTACAGTTATTTGATCCAAGAAATTAAATAAACGTTTGCGTGTATGCGTGTGTCTGTGTGTGTGTAGCTTCATTCAATTATCTTTGAAGGGCAATCCAAGAGATCTCCACATCCTGTTTAGCTTGCTCCCACTGTGCAGTTGCATTGCAGTGCTGGACAACGCACATGTTTTGCCCAAATCAGGGCGCGCGTGTGCACCACCCCTCCCAACCGGAGCCTTCTCCGACACATAATCAAATTAACATTAAAACGATAAATGACTCGACTGCTCGGTGCTTTTTTCACTTTCTTGCTGCCCAATTATCCAGCATTATCGCAGTGCAAACAAATTGCGAACCTAGATAAAACCCCTACCACCTGATAAGGTCTCATGTTCATCAGCAATTAAAAAGTGTCCCTCAAATGTACATTTAATTTCGGTTATTTTTTTCGTTCCTGTTTGCATGATGTCATGTCGTCTATGTTTGCCTTTCAGTTTAAAGGCCTAAAATGAAATAAACAAAAATTTGCGTGTTTCGCGTGGGCTATGCGCTGTCCCAAAAAAAAATTAACAAAAGATTTCAGTTGCTGTTTGCTGGTCTGTTGCCGAGGCCATAAATGGCCAAGATACAAAAGCCGCCCGCTCTATATAGGCAGATAGTTTACCAACACTGGCGACAGGCTGCTTGCAAGTGCACTGCCGACTGCGGTCAGCTGTCAATGTCATGTTAGTGCAGTTGAATTTCAGCCTCGTTTCTTTCAAATGGTAGTAGTGGGTGGGGACGGGGGGGAGTGACGCGTCGTGTCATGTCGGGCCATGAGTAATCCGGCCTATGACAATGGGGGGGGGGAACAAAAATAACACATGAACAAACACAGTGGCCCTTGTACCCCGCGGGTAGGGGGAGTCCTCTGCTGATCTCGAATCGAACTCTCGCTCTCTGGCTCCCTTGATCTCTTGCTCCCACAGTGCCTGTTCACATACGTACACTACTAGGGTTACAGTGATTACCACGCTTATTCGCTCACCTTTTGCAACCAATTCAAAACGTCTCTAGGTTGTGATTCTCGTATTTGTGGGGTGGTTCCATATATATTTACCATGGGTTTTCCGCCTGACTTGCCGGTAGCGGCTGAACGAATAATTCTAGGCACCACTGTCTGTACTTGTGTATACAAGTGCGCGCTGTTAAAATGTTGACGTTGCAGTAGTCTCTTTTGGAAGATTTTGGGGAGGAGGAGGTGTGCAATTGGCATATTCTGAACTTCAAAGTCCCCCCCGATCGATATTGTTGTTGCCCGTACTGCATATTAATTGAGGGGAGTGTGTGTGTGTGTGTGTGTTGTTTGTGCGTCAGTCACTGTTTCTGATTCGATCGTTCGTGCCGGCTCTCTTGAGTGTTAGGCCCCATAGCTCTCTGTTAACTAACAGACTAACAGAGTCTGCGCTCTCTCGCTGTGCCGCTTATCTGGAACAATGCCGTGCGATTGTCTGCGGACACAAACGAGTAATATTGTTGTTATTGTTTGCATATATATTTTTCTGATGTTGCATGCAACATCATTAGCATTTGCTTTTCCCCCATCGTTTGCTTTCATTCATCGTTTGGATCTCAACGCGAGGGTCTTTTACCGGCATCTTGCATTATCCAAAGAAACGACACCAAAATTTGTGTAGAAATTTCACTTTTTCTGTGAGCGAGAGCGAGGCCGGAGCAGGCAGCGAAAGAAAGAGAGTGAGCAAGAAAATCGAATTGATAAAATATATTTTGATAACAGGGCAAAAGGCAACGAATGCAGTGCGACTCATGTGGCAAATATGCATTGATAAATAATAGTAATTGTTAGAACGATACCAATAAACAACGATAACCGACAACTAATAGCTATAAAGATAACGATAAACGACGACCATTTCGAAAAAAAATAGTGCCACGATATATAAAACGAAAGAGCTCCAGGAAAATCAAAAAAATCACCCGCCACATTTGGGCAGATTCAACATCAACTCGGATCCGAAACTGGAGCTTAAGATCCAACAAGTGCTGGTGTTCAAAATCAATTAGGCAATTCAATCACGATCCACAATCAATAAAACTGCAGCTCAATATCTGAAATTGTTAGATTTTTATATAAATAATGATATAGCCAGTGGAGCTTAAGAATTAATTTCAAACCACAAAAAGATCTTACATGTTAAATAAAGCCCAAATATCACTGACAATACAGAAGTGTATCTCCAAGGTTCCAAAGTTTATGGTTTACGTTTTGCTACATATACACAATATCCACCAAATTGGCAATACAATTTTCATCGACCAACGAGAATCACAAAAATGATTAAGCTGAAATCATTGTTTCGCAGAGGACAAGGGACCTCGAGTTCCAACTCCTCGAACTCCTCGCACAAGCAACAGCAGCAGAACTCCAACTCCAACAATAATCGCCAGAAGTCACAGTCGAGTACATCCCTAAACACGGCCCACGAACAACAACAACAACAGCAGCAGCAACAACAGCAGCAGCAGCAGCAGCAACTCAATAACGCGGCAACAGCTGCAACAGCGAGTGGCACAGCGACAACAAAGTTTTATTCCAATCACGAGGCAGCCACATACGAACGGGGCGTGGATGTGGGCGATGATGAGGCGCTGCTGCTGACGAATCAACAACAACAACAGCGACTTCAACAACAATTGCAACAGCAGCAGCAGCAACAGCAACAGCAGCAACAACAACAGAGCCACACGCTGCCGCTGAAAAAGTCAAAGCTAAAAGGACAAAAGCAACCAAAGCAGCTGCCAATATTACAACAACAGCAACAGCTTCTGCAACAACAACAGCAGCAACAACAACTGCAACTCCAGCAACAACAGCAACAGCAACAAGCAGCGCTCCGCAATGCGAATGTACAACCAGAACAACAACAACAACAACAACTAATGACTTCCATTGCGGCCGTGCCTCCAGCAGCGGCAACCAACAACAGTAGCAGCACCAGCAGCAGCGGCAACAACAACAACATTAACAACAACAACGCATTGGCCGCGTTGCAAGATGGTGGCGCTGCTGCCGCCGCCGCAGCTGATTTCTATCAACAACTAGCAGCAGCAGCCACTGCAGCATCGGCAACATCAGCCAGTGCCGGTGGCAGCAACAACAGTGTCGGCAATAGTACGTCGGCAAGCGCATTTCCGGCCGCAGCAGCCGCCGTGGCCGTGGCAGCCGCTGCAGCCAGCAGCTATCAGAAACAGCAGCAACAGCAGCAGCCACTGTTCAACAACGAACAGCAACAACAGCAGCTCTTGGAGGTAAGCGACACCAATCGAAAAAGCATTGCTTGCCACAAACAAACAAAACCCTTCTCTTGCTTTCCCCTTTTTGCAGGCTAACAACAAAATGCAGGAGCTGCAGAGGCAGCTGGATCGACTGGGAAGCGAGCAACTGCAGTTGGAGACACGCATCACAGAGCTGCTGCCATACCAAAGCGAGGTGGTCAAACTGAAGGGCGATCTGGTTAAGATGCAGGTGGGCGGCATGGTGGGAGGTGGCTTGAGGGTGGAATCAGTGGAAGCGATGGAGCGAGCGTCTCTAACCACAAGTTGTTGTTGTTGTTGTTGTTGTTGCTGTCGTTGATGAGTTGTCATGGCTGATTGATGCAGTGATACCCTATAAGCCATATGGTATGCCTAAGCGTATCCAATTGATGAGTATGAGGATCCATGGGGCATTATAGATCAAACTTAAGATACACAAATAGGTCAGGGTACATACGTATGTATATAGAGCGAAGATCTATAGCTGATTCAACAGAATAGCCATAAAAGTATGTCAATTAAAGATCCCTGTGAGAAGGCAGGGCACAGGTATGCGAGCAATCGCCACTACGAAGGTGGGTAGCCAGGGGGCGTTGCGCTTCGATACTCTAACCAATACATATTGATATTTAATATGTTCTATAAGATATACAATATACAGAGAGACAGAAAGACAGACAGACAGAGAGATGGGGCTCCTTAATTGATTGTAGAGCAAATGCAGTGATGAGAGCTTGGGTTTTGCGTCGTAAGAACAACAGCAGCAACAGCAACAGCAGCAACAGCAACATCTTAACTCACCTGTCGAGATCCGAGATCCAATCAAATCGAATAATCGAATCCAATCTAAACTGACCTGATCTTTTCCGCTTACAGAATCTACAGGAGAAAACACAAATGGAAATCGGCAATCTGAAATATGAAAATGAATCTTTGCGCAATCGCTTGCGGGACGTTGTCAACTCGCCATTGTCGGATGCGGAGAAGCATCAGATTATACAAGATTCGCAGCGTTTGCATAGCTCAGCGCCCGCCTCCATAGCACTGCCCAGTGTGAGTATCTAGGAAGTAAAATTGCGCTACGGTTGCCACCATTTTTCACCATTCGTTTTTTTTGTTTTTTTTTTTGTAGACAAACGAAGCGCACGATGGGACGCCCTGCCTCACGCCCGACTGGGACAAGCAGTCGTCGTCCAGCGAAATATCAGTAGCCTGCTTGCAGGACAAGATCATCCAGATGGAGGAGACCCACTACTCGACCAATGAGGAGCTGCAGGCCACCCTCCAGGAGCTGGCCGACCTGCAAACGCAGCTCAGCGACACCCAAACGGAGAACGAACGGCTCGCCGAGGAGAAGGATGTGCTCTTCCAGTCGCTCTGCCGCCAGACGGAAAAGCTGAACGAGTCCCGAACGCAGATCAGCACCCTTCAGGAGCTGCTGCTGCGCGACACCAAGCAGGCGGCTGAGGTGTGCACATCGGAGCGCGAGAAAAAAGCTGCTGGATCTCATCCAGACGTCGCAGGAGGAGCGGGAGGCGGTGCTGCTCAAGCAGGAGGAGCTCAACGGGGAGCTGGCCGAGCTGCGACAGAACCGCGATGCCGCACAGCAGGAGCAGCAGCGGCAGCGGGAGCGCATCGCCTTGCTTGACTCGCAGCTGGACGCGGCCACGGCGGAGCGTAAGCAGGGCGAGGCACAGTTCTCGCAGGCCAAGGAGGAGATCTCGCAGCGGGCCATTGAGATCAGCAGGCTGAGCACGCTGCTCGAGAATGCCCGCTCCAAGATCGAGGAACTGGAGGCGGATTTGGCGCGTGGCGACAAGACCGATCTCAGCGACGTACTGGACGCAGCCCGACGGGAGAAGGATGCCCTGGAGGAGCGGCTGGCCGAGCTGCAGGATCAGTGGTCGCGCAGCCAGGCGGAGTTGCGTCGCCTGCGGGAGCAGCTGGCCGGACTGACCGAGGAGTGCAAGGTGGCCAAGAACAATGCCAAGTGCGCCGTCTCCCATCTGGAGTATCGGCTGGAACAGCTGCAGCGCGACAAGGACAAGCTGGCCGGTGACTGTCAGGCGCTGGAGGAGCGGGTGGCCGAGCTGCAGGTGCAGTCCAAGTGCCACCACGAGGACAAGGCCCAGCTGCAGACGCTGCTCGGCGAAACGCAGAGGCACCTGGGCGACGTGAAGCTGAAGCTGAGCGACACCGAGCAGCGGCTGGACAAGGAGACGCAGCTGCGGCGACGAGAGGCTGAGGAATGGCAACAGTTCCAGGCGGATCTGCTGATGACCGTGCGTGTTGCAAACGACTTCAAGACTGAGGCGCTAAGCGCTCGCGAGCAGCTCGTGCTCGACAACAAGACGCAAAAGGAGAAAATCCGGCTGCTGGAGCAGCAGCTGGAGAAGCTCACCACCAAGCAGCGTAAGGTCAAGTCATTTCCCATACCCTACTCTTTGATTCGAATCCCTTCCTCGTTCGTTCCTCAGTACCGCAGCCGCCGTCGGAGACGCCACAGTCGTTGCTGTCCACGGTCCAGCTGGAGATGGCAACGCGTCGCAGTAAACTTAGCTTTAGCCGGCAGGACTCCAGGCTGTCCGTCAAGACCCTCATAGAGAGCATCGAGAATAACAAGGCGGTAGGTGGTGGATCCTTCTCTCCCACTAATTTTACACTCGCTTGAACTGCTCCCATTCCCATTCTTCCATGCAGCAAGGCAAATCGGATGAAGCGGAGTCAAACTACAGCTCCAATTCGAGCCTGAACAGCGGCACGCCCGAGCTGGGGAACACTCCCATCATTCTGGCCGCCTCCGGTGATTGGCACGAGAGCGTAAGCAAACATCTTTCGCTTCTGTTGAAACCTCTCTAATCGATCTTTGGTCTCTCTATCCCCACAGCTTCGTTTGCCAGTCCTGCAGAGCAGCAATCTGCACGTAAATGTAGGAACAACGACTGCGGCAGCAGCAGCAGCAGCTGACGCTGCAACTGGAGGAGCCGGAGGAGTAGGATCAGCTAACTCTACCAAAGCCACAATGCCGTTGCGGGAGCAGCAGCAACAGCAGCAGCATGTGACGGCTGCCAACTCCTCGCAGCCCTCCACACCGGCCACGCCCAGCAGCAGCGGCAGCAGCCAGCCGCCCAGTCTGCCCTTTGGCAGTGTCTCAAAGTCCTTCATTAGCGGTAGGTCAGGCGAAGCTAAAGAATCGCCCGCCCTTCTAAAACATTCTGTTGTGTTCTCTCTGTTCAGGCGAGCGCAAGGATCCGCTAAATATGCTGGCCAAGAACGGTGGCTCCAAGAGGAATGCACTGCTCAAGTGGTGCCAGAACAAGACAGTGGGCTACCGCAACATTGACATCACGAACTTCAGCTCATCGTGGAACGATGGCCTGGCCTTCTGCGCGATCCTTCACTCTTATCTGCCGGATCGCATACCCTACGATCAGCTCAGTCAGGCAAACAAGCGGCGAAACTTTTCGCTTGCTTTTGCCGCCGCCGAATCGGTGGGAATTGGCACCACACTCGTGAGTTCTCCCCATCCCCATCGCCATCCCTACGCCACCATAATTTAAATGCGACTCTCGCTATCCTCTTTTCCTCTGTAGAACATCAACGATATGTGCCAGCTTGAGCGGCCCGATTGGATGCAGGTGATGTCCTATGTGACGGCGATCTACAAATACTTTGAGACCTAGATGGATGCCGTCTCTCGTCTACCGTCTACCGTCTTTTGTGTATATTTATAATCAGCATTTCCTCAATGTTTTGCGTTCAGACGAATCCCTCTGACCTCTGACACGACAAGAAGAAAATATTTTAACTTTAGCCCCTCCTCCCCACGCCCTTAGTGTATATGTATGTGTTTTTTGTTTTTGTTTTTTTTTTTCTCTCTTCAGACTTTCATTTTGTATGTCTATATGTCTATGTCTACACCATTTATCGATGTTAGTGGACAGGTGGTTGAAAAATCTTGACTTATTTGAATGAATGAATGAATGAAACGGAGCAGCAGGCAACAGGCAACAGAGCATGAAAAACAATTGTTTATTAAATATTAAGTAATCTGTAAAATGCATTTGTTTGTTTTTTCGGTTTTACAGATGAACGCTAGAGCCCCCTAGATATTGTAGAACTTAGTTTAAAGATACTCGTATGTTTAAAAAGCAGCTTCGAGGTTGGTTTTTTTTTTGTTGTATAAGAGAGTGCCCCCCTGTATGCCGAGTGTCCACTGTATTTTCTCTCTCTGTGTGTATGTATGTTTTTTTTTTTTTTCCTTATTGTAATTTTTATTGTATACGCTGGAGCAAAACTACATAAGCTGATGCGAATGGTGGAATGGTGTGGTGACGATGATGGGCAACTATAGCGAATAGAGCGGCGTAGCAGCAGCAGCAGGAGAATGAGAAGGAGAAGCAGTCCGGACTAGCTTTAGCATACCATACGTATATATATACACATACCTACTATATTTATTTATTCCAACTACTACTCGTACATCAGATCACTAAACTGTATTTTCTCAACGATTCATTCTACAAAATACCGATACCATAAAGAACAAAAAATTAACGCGCAATGAAAACAATTCATCCATCTCTCTTTGTTTTTCTTTTGCCATAAAATCCAATTATGTTGCCAACCAAGACTCCGGGGCAGGGGGCTGAGGCTTAGAGTCTAATCCCAGACTCTCCTCTGTCGGTGGGGGGGTGAAAAGGGGGCGCAGTGAATTAAAAATTCCTTCAAAATTTTACATCTTTTGCCATTTTACATTTTACATTCTCCGTTGAGCCTGGGTTATTAAAATAGATCAATCTTGCTGCCGCCACATACATACTACAGCCCCCCCCGCCCCCCATCAACCATGAGCACATGGGTGCCAGGAGGAGTCAAAATCCAAGTACAAGTCCACATTTAACATGCCACCACCACCCCGCCATCAAGCCCCAGCAGGACTCCCGAGAAGCACCATCAAAATGGCGCTCCTTGAGGACAATGAAGGAGCTGCGTAAAATTTCCCTTTTGTGGGAAATTTTCGAACAAGCCAGAAAGAGATGACGCCACAGGCTGCGGCTGCTCCTCTTGCTCCGTCAGTGGGCGGGATTCGGTACGTGGTTGGTTGCTCGATGGAGTAAACGGAGGCGGGTGCGACGATGATGGGTGGATGGTGGGTGGTCGGAAGATGGGGGTGGGTGTGGGTGTGGCATGTGGCATAGGATTTAATTAAGTACCCCATCCCAAAAACCGCAGGAGGGATGCGAGAGGCGGTGAAATGGCCAGAGAAGGGATTTAACAGCGTGCGATTTTTTTAAAATTAAAACAAGCCGATGATTGATGTACTCGAGGCTAATGAGGAGACGCACAAAATGTGGCTGCAGACGGAGGAGAACAAAACTAAAGCGTCGATCGGGCAACGTCGCAACTTACAGCTGAGAAACGCACCGTGCACAGTGCACCGTGGTGCAACGGGTAAATGGATAATAAAGTTAATTGCTCTCTTGCCCATCAGATGTGTTGTGCTCATCTTCAAATTGTTTTTTTCGAATTATTTTTGTATTCGATTATTCTTAAAATTCGCCTTATGGGATTGTATTTTATAAACATTTTGTTCCTCCATTTTTAATTTACAAATCATATTCAGATACGCCTCATAATCACAAATATGTATATTTAGATAGTAATTACTTATTCAGGTTTTACTTTTCAGTTAAATTTAATTCGAATTTACATAATTATCTAAGAATATTATAAAATTATGTTTCAAGCCTTTTTTTTTGTACTTTCCTTTAGCTTTCAGTGCCAAAATATTTATTGCTCATCTGTTTTATATATTTTCCATATTTTTACTTGGCTTTCATTTTTAGTTTATTCTGCAGAACCTTAAAGAGCTGTCCTGGAAATTTGTACAGCTTCGTTTTTGAGCATCCCAGTTGGTATTTCGGTCACACAAGATGATATGTATGTACAGATTTTCCACACAATATATAAATATTAAAATGCTGAGGGCCTCCAAGTGCCAATAATATCACATGCCGCCATACACCATCATCTATTTCACCCACAGCCCCAAAAGTATTCCCCAAAATGCAAAAATCTGTCTACAATTTCGGATGTTGAATGTTTGGGGAGGGAGACATAAGAATAAGCTATGAATTTTGATTATGTTCAAGCAAGAATCAGCCTGTGGTTAAATTTCGTCAGATATTCTAATAGACTCTCAATTCTGTGCAGCAGAACCTCCTCCCCGCCCAATTATATAGTAGAAGAGTATAAGAGATTGCTGGGTATTTATTGGGAAATAAATATCTTAGTCCCGAATGGAATATTCATTGTTTTGATGTATATAGATCGGTTATAATTAAATTCTCCTGGGTCTCTTCGCTAATTGTAATATTGTAAATTTCGCAGTCTCATTCGTTTTGGATATGTAAAATCTCGAGCCAGTTGTAAGGATTAGCTTGACTCCTTCAGCTGTTCGAAATACAATCAACAAATGCACATCAGCCGCCGTGTCCGTATCCGTATCCGTGTCCGAGCTCTAGGCCTCTTGGCCAAACCAATGTCACGTAGCACGGGGGCGCACCTTCAAGTAGCGGCGCTCGATTCACACTCCCCACTACCTCCTGCCACCGTGCCATTTTCTGGCTGGACAAAAGCTACAGCAAATCGTATCTGTCAATTAGGCGGCTGCCTGCCCCGGCTGCCCCTGCTACTCCTTCTGGCATCCTTAATGTCCGGCACATGTCGCAAATGAAATTAAACGCTGACGCACCATTTGCTGACCAGCGACCAGTGCGACGAATAGACGCTGGTGGTGGTGGTGGCATAAAGGAGCCAAAAATGCTTTGTCATAAATCAAGAAATCGACAAAAATACATTTCAATGCGGCAAACATTTTAATATAAAACAAGGCAAAAAGGCTTTGGCTTTGGCTTTTGGGGGGGCCGAAGCTTTTAATACTCTTTGTAGATCCATCATTCCTGAGGCCACGAGTATATTGTGCTTGTAGTCATGCGATTTGGCTTCGGATTGGGCAGAGCTAGTATGAGGGAAATTATGGGATAGGGATAGTAGAATGTGCTTTGTGCACAGAAATAGTTGCACGATCGATTGTACCCTATGCCAAAATAGTTACCCTGACCAGACACTCACTCACTCACTCACTCACTCACTCACTCACTCACTCACTCAGTCACTCACTCACTCATTTAGTCTTTGATTCAGTCGGTAAGTTCGGCCATTTGTTGGCTCCTTTCATTCGACCAAAGGCAGTGCAACTATAAAAATATTATCTATAGTTTCCACTCAACTGCACAGCGGCACTTACCGGACGACGCTCGTCCTTGCCTCACACCTCAACCGGGACGCGCTAGTGTATGTGTGGTGTGTGTGTGTGTGTGTTTGTGTATGTATTGTATGTATAAATCATAATGGTTAATGTGCACTCATAAATGGATAAGCCAAAGGCAGTCCATATGCTCCAGCCACATCCAGCAGGAGCAGGAGCAGGCGGAGCAGGGTGGCTCCTGCACGTGATGGCGAATATGAATATGAGTAGTGAGAATGGTGAATGGTGAATGGTGAATGCTGGTGATGTTGGGTGTGAGATATGGGACATGGGACATGGATGGATTGTGGATCGGAGCGGACATTGCTCATTCAGGTCAGGTCAAGTCGGGCCAACTCAGGCAGAGGGAAATCGTTTTGTGTGCGTGTCATTTATGGGTCATTTGCCATGGCACCCACCCCCCACCACCACCCACCGCGAGGCAAACAACAAGTGAAGCCAATCGAGCTGGAAAGCTGCAAATGGTGTGAGATTAAATCAGTAGGTACTGGCTGCCAGATCAAGTAGAGTCCAAGCTATACACTCCTCTTAGTTCTAGTACAAATAAATCTACAAAATGGCAATTGGAAAAAATAAATAAACGGAAACCCTGACTGCTCCCTGGGGCTTTTCGGGCTCAACGGAAACTGGAAATTAATTAAAAACTAAAAATACAGAAGGCACAAGAGTCTACTTAATAGAGTGCCATAGTGATTCTTTTGGTGATCTAATCTAAATTACAAAGATATACGTTCTGGGCATGGGATTCGGATTGTGTCCTGCCGCTGCATGTGAAAGTGAAAACACCAAAACACTTTAAGCCTTAAATTATTTTCCATAAATATTTAGATTATATATTTATTCATATATATATATATTTATATCCTGTTATATCCTATTAACCCTGGAACATCTAATCTGCAAGTGCCCCACTCTCTCCCAGTCAAGAAACAAATACCTTTGCGGCCCGGTGCTGGCATCGTTGGAAGATGCATCCAGGGGGACGCCAGGGGAACTTCTTGCCTTTGCGAAAATCTTCTCGATCCTCACTCTCGATCGAAATCGCGTAAAACACTCAGAAGGTCCATACGTACTTAGCCGGACAACTAAGGGCAACTATATTGGCCTATGCGTGGCCCCGTAAAGGCCGTCCGGAATAACCTAACCTAAACTATATCTATATATAATGTTATATATTTTTTATATTCATTAAGAATTCGTCAAGAATTACTAAAATTCCCAAGCCAAAAACTTCAGTTTATTAAATACAATAAAAATGATTTTTAATTATAATTGGAATATATAAAAAAATAGAGTGATTTTATTCCGAAACATTACGAAAAGTGCGCGAATGACTCATCAAGATTTCGAAGCCTAAAAATATTTGTAACTTGAATTGAATCTGGTTTCGATTTTTCACTTGCTCCACATTCTTCGCTGCCACAAAGAACGAAAAGAAAGAAATAAGGAAAAAAAACCCGACCACACACATGATGGGAAAAAATGGACTTCCTCTTCCGATTGTTGAATGGTAATTTTGGATTCATCACCCAGCCCCTCCCCACTGAAACCTAAACTTCTTAGCATTTCCGATTGCCTGCAGGCAAATCCTGTTTACTGCCCGTCAACTTATAAACAATTTTCGAAAATATGTAACAATGATGATGATGCTCAGAGCAACGAACGAGCAACTTTTGCGGCGGAAGCGAGAATCGGAGACTCTTTTTTTTTTTTTGTACAAGAAAACTCCAACAGCAGGGATGGGTGGGGGGACTGAAAGGATTATAATCGAGTAATGGGAAATCGAAGAGCGGCAGAGAGACAGAGAGATTAAATGCACGGGGCAACATTTCCGGTCGCAGCAACGCTCTCCCATTCAATTCAATTCAGAACCCAAACGATGTCCAGCCATGACGAGGCTGCTTCGATTTGATTTCCT